TGCTATTTCCTGTGGTATTTCTAGTTTGCAATATTGGTTTTATCTTATCTTTGACTACACTTGTTTCCCCACTACGGCTCCTGTCCTCTATGAGGTCATTTATATGTATTCCTTCCTGCGTATAATTCCCGACTACCTTGACAAAATCTCCAGCTTCACCATTACTGTCTCTCAGGACAGCACCTCCAGCTTCACCATTACTGTCTCCCAGGACAGCACCTCCAGCTTCACCATTAGTCTCCCAGGACAGCACCTCCAGCTTCACCATTACTGTCTCCCAGGACAGCACCTCCAGCTTCACCATTACTGTCTCCCAGGACAGCACCTCCAGCTTCACCATTACGTCTCCCAGGACAGCACCTCCAGCTTCACCATTACTGTCTCCCAGGACAGCACCTCCAGCTTCACCATTACTGTCTCCCAGGACAGCACCTCCAGCTTCACCATTACTGTCTCCAGGACAGCACCTCCAGCTTTCACCATTACTGTCTCCCAGGACAGCACCTCCAGCTTCACCATTACTGTCTCCCAGGACAGCACCTCCAGCTTCACCATTACTGTCTCCCAGGACAGACACTCCAGCTTCACCATTACTGTCTCCCAGGACAGCACTATCAGCCCCACATTTACTGACTACCAGGACATCACCTCCAGCCTTACAGTTTCTGACTACATGGCCAGTATCAAGGGCAGTACCATTCAGCCCAGACTTTTTATGTTCCCATCTGCTGTAGAAAGCTTCCAGGTTTTCTATGAAAGCAGCTTTGATGTTATCCTCTTTTAATACCCTTGTGATTTTAGTTCACAGATTTATCTCATTTGGGCATACCCAAAACACTTCCCTGTTTTAATACTTCTTGTAGCTAGTTCTTGGATATCTGCACAAGGGGCGTGACACCAATTTCCACAAAAATGACAATTTATCCATGTGGAAGACCGTTTGTTTGATTGACTGCAGACTACACACAGCTTCATAATGATTTGAATTGTTGATTTACTGTAATTCTACTAGCAACCTCTTGAATACTCTATTAATAACCTCCTTAAATGAAGCTCTAGCTATTTGTATTTCTATTTCTAACTGTACTTGTATATTGGACAGCTTACCGTGTACGTTCCTGATTTATATTTATTGTTTGTGTTTGATAAGGGCGCCTACAACCCCATCCGTTTACAGTCTGCTTTATTGTCCAACGAATCCGTTTGAAACCAGTCAAGGGTTCGGACCAGTCAAGGGTTCGGACCAGTCGAGGGTTCGGAACCAGTCTGATCTGATCAGTGGGTCACTTATTTAAAACATACTGGTCGGTGATTTGGGCTAACACATGAAGGATCTACTGGAAATTATCTACCCGAGTAATATGTGATTTGATTGATACAAAAGTATAACTTGCGTGTTGAAGACCTGGTGATTGCTGGCAGCTCCTACAATGACGAACGGTCGAGCCTCAACCCTTGTTTATCAATCGCTGTATCTAGCTTTTCTAGTTTTTTTTCGTCTCCACCACAATAAATGCTATATTATCACTATAGTTGACTGGTGAAAATTTTGGAGGAAGGACGCTTTTTCTGTAGTAATAATTGCTTCTCGTTGTGTATATTGCGACCGCTGGTAACTACAGGTTATATGAAATTCACAGTAGTAATAATATCTATTTCTACAAGTACAAGGTATACAGCCTAGCTGACATCAATGATATAATATTTAGAAAGCCGCTTGTGACGCAGAACATTTCGGACAAATTAGGTCATTTTGTCCCATGATGCGACCCACACCAGGCGACTAACACGCCCAATGTTTCTACCCTCGCCGGGAATCGAACCCGGACATCACCGTGTGAATTATTATTATAATCAAGGGGGAAGCGCTAAACCCGGAGGATTATACAGCGCCTGGGGGGGGATGTGGAAGGCATTCAGGCTTAATTTGGGGAACTGGAGCACAGATCCAATTCCCTAAATCAAGAGCCCCTCACCAACATCAAGGAACCTTCCTTGAGGGGTCACCGTATGAAGCGAGAGCTTTAGCCACCAGGCCACGGAGCAACCAGTACGCTGTTTTAGTCTGAACGTATAAAACCATCGTCATGCTGAGGGCAAGTTACCTTAAATTACCTTTCCACTTCCACCGTCTCCGGTATCTGTTCTCTGTATGAGATTGAAAGAAATATTTGTTGGTAAAATGTCTCCATCAGTAATGTATCTAGGTGTTGCAATGTCTTATTTTTCATCAATTTACATAGTTCATGTATATACAGTTTTCGATGTATATACAGTGAAAATCGTCGTACACCACTTCTGCAGGCCAGAGGTGGTAGTCAGATTAGTCATCCATGGGTTGTTAGGTAAGACACATATGCAACAGTTAGGTATCTTTATTTTGAAACGTTTCGCCTACACAGTAGGCTTCTTCAGTCGAGTACAGAAAAGTTGATAGAAGCAGAAGATACTTGAAGACGATGTAATCAGTCCATCACCCTTAAAGTTTTGAGGTGGTCAGTCCCTCAGTCTGGAGAAGAGCATTGTTCCGTTGTTTCAGACAACGGAACAATGCTCTTCTCCAGACTGAGGGACTGACCACCTCAAAACTTTAAGGGTGATGGACTGATTACATCGTCTTCAAGTATCTTCTGCTTCTATCAACTTTTCTGTACTCGACTGAAGAAGCCTACTGTGTAGGCGAAACGTTTCAAAATAAAGATACCTAACTGTTGCATATGTGTCTTACCTAACAATCTGTCGGTATTTTATTACCATTTTAATGTTCATCCATGGTTCTTGACCCAAGGCAACCCTGAGACAAGACAAGCTTGTCGAGTTGTGAGACAACCAGCACCGTCGAGAACACCGACTACACATCACTGACCATAGCTAACTGCTACACCACATGAGTGTCAAAAGACCTGTTTCACCCCAGCCATGAGACATAGCGCACTCATCACAGAAATAATTCAATTCAGTTTAAGTTTATTCTCTATAAGGGTTACAATGTGGGGTTTACAGGTTTGGGGTATTGTGTGGTTTACATGTTATAAAATACTAATTACAGAGGGGGGCACTAGGACACCTAGCATGGCTAGGCATTTCAAACAGACTTAGATTAATTCTTAACATTAAATCCTTACAGATTATGGTATTAAGGCTAAGTGACTACATCATAATTTGTGAGTTTAGCAATGTGAATGCTTTTGTTTTGGCACAATACAAAGTGTCTATATGGGAGTAACATAGGCAAACTTATGACTAGTTAGGATTTATTATTTTAAGATTAAGATTAGTATTTCTGGGTTTATAGTCAGTGGGTGAGTGTAATTGTGAACCACCAGGTGGTTATCATGTAGTTAGTTGTAGGGGTGGATCAGGGAGATAAGATGTTTTTTAACTGTAGTTTTGAAAGTTCTGCAACATTGTAGAACCCATTCTCCTTCAGGAGCAGAGATGGATTATTGCAAGATGACTCCCTGTCAGGACCCCGGTCTTGCTGAACATTATACATACATAAGGAATAAAGTCATCCCTGGCACCATGACTGCAGCTCCTACCATATGAATGGAATTATTGGCCCCCATCATGGGCCCATTATCCTCCCATTAGTACCTCAGACAGTCCTTGATGACGAACTGACTTTCTTGGGTTATTTTTGATGTCTAAAACTGAATAGGTTTATATATACTGCCTGTTACGTCAGCCTGTATTAAAGTCTAATTATTTTCAATTACCTTCTATTTTTCGACAAATACAGCCAGAAAGATGTATTAGACAGGAGGTAAGACACATTTAACATTATGACTGATACAAGCCATAATATCTGTAGTAATTCAAGTTATATCAATGTTGTTTTCTCTTAATATATACTGCGTTTTATTAAAGTTTTATTGGCTGGTTTTGAAGCCTAATTCTTATATAAAATATATAAAGTATTGCATTATTGCTAGTGTGATGAAATCAGTGTCTTTTGTGTCATTTTCGGATCTGCGCGATGAAGGGTTAAAGTCGTTTCTGTCCCACGACCGAAACGACTGCAATGAACGTGTCGTAAATTTTATATTCCACATCATTAAGTTTATTTAGACACAGGTACACATAAGTACAATGATCATACACAGTATATATTACCTAGGATAACACAAAGTGACTGATTTCCACTGGGGTCTTTGACTTACTAGTTTTACATTATATATTTTTTCTACCGTCTCGCTGAAACATTATATGAAGTATATTTTAAAAGTATGATGAATGAACAGATACCATGGATGAATTCCCTGGGTGTTAGCTTGCTCGTGGCTTGGTTGGTACCGTCCTCAGCTCACACACTGAAGGTCCGCGATCGATTCTCTGCACGGGTGGAAACGATAATCGTTTCCACCCTGGAGTTTACCTGGAGAGAGTTCCGGGGGTCAACGCCCCCACGGCCCGGTCTGTTACCAGGCCTCCTGGTGGATCAGAGCCTGATCAACCAGGCTGTTACTGCTGGCTGCACGCAAACCAACGTACGAGCCACAGCCCGGCTGGTCAGGAACCGACTTTAGGTGCTAGGTTAATAAATCTAACAATATCTTATTCAAAATAATAGTTTTTTCTTGGATGGGATCCACAAAGATGGGTCCACAACAACCCCTGATTAGTTACCAGGGATACGCCACTGGTCCCGGGATTGAACCCGGGACTTCTTTTGTGAGCCGAACGTTCCTACCACTGAGCTACTTATCATCTCAATAGTCAACCTGCATCCTGCTTATTCTGTTTTCGGCTTTTAGTATTTTTACTTTATTTAGGGTACTTTACTATCTTATTTTATTCAATTAATTTCCATATAAAGAAATTTTGCTAAACTTTCACAACTAGACCCGCCTCCTCATGACGGAGGATAGATGATGTAAGAGTTATTAGTATGTAGTTTCAGAATGTTTATATATAGAGTTTTAATGCTTTTTTTGAGGTAACTATATTGTCGAGATGCCATCGTGATGCTCCTCTGGCGCCTACACTATCATAATAGTGTTTTTGTTCACCACCAAGTTTCTTGAGGAAGTCGACTGATGTGTCAGGAGGATTCTCCCGATTTTTGACATCTTGTTGGGATAAATGATGTTGTGGTGGGTGGAACGGTAGCCAGGAGACCCACCATTACGGCAACACATCAAATATCATCATCCAGACCTCTCCAGGTGACACATCCATGGATAATACTTGAAAATTAGAAGCGCATAGATCCTCCCTTTAAGCGTGTAAGTAGTCCCTTGACTATTATCCACACGACTTTTTAGAATTTTAAGAGTTTTAAGTCTTTATATCCTCTCAAGACCCCTCAGGGAGTCTCCTTGATGCCAATGAGGGATTCTTGATCCAAGGAATTGTGGTCGTCCTCCCTTTGGATCGAACCTGATTATTTTCCGTCCCCCCCCAGGGGGCTGTATGACCCATACGGGTTTAGCACTCCTTTCCCCAATGAATATAATAACTAGATATATTTCGGTCACTGTGTGATCTAAGAAAGGTATCCCAGTATCTTAAGCTCAGTCTCAACCTCTGCATGCAAAAGGAATGGTACAGGATGGTCTTAAAATTCTGTGGCAAAAAAATAGAAAAATGTGTGTATATTCATGCATGTTTGTGCATATGTTTGACTTTATGTATGTATGCCTGTGTGTATGCAGTCATGTATACATGTACTCACCTAGTTGTACTCAGGGGTCGAGTCCAAGCTCCTGGTCCCGCCTCTTCACTGGTCGCTACTAGGTCATACTCCCTGAACCGTGAGCTTTATCATAGCCACCCCTCTAGGGAGGTTCCTTGATTCCAGTTAGGGGCTCTTGATCCTAGGAAGTGGACCTATTCTCTTGGATTGAACCTGATGGTCTACAATTCCCCATGTACTGTATAGCTCCTTTGGGTTTAGCTCTTTCCCTTGATTATAATAATTTTCTTAATGTATGCATGTGGCTGTGTGTTGTCCCTGTTGAAGAGGTTAATCTTATTTACCTATTCTTAACCATTTATAACCTCATGTATTGTCATATCTCCTTTTTTCTGCCTGTCAGTCAGAATGGGAACTTCTAGTGTTTTCAGTCTTTCATCATAATTCATAACTCATTTTTTCTTAGCCCTGCTATCCTTTTTGTAGCTTTTTTGCCCTTTGAAAGTGGACCTAGGATAGTAATGATGTGATAATATTGTACAGTATAAGAATGTATAAGCAAATAATTTGTGCATTTTTTGGTATCAGTTACACTTAAAGTTAAAGATGAACAATTCTGTCTGTAATGTCTTTTACAGAGGAATTCAAGATGAAGGCCATAATTGATAATATTGAATGCCAAAGGGATTCTCCCAGATTTCGGTAAGTACAAATAAATTGACAATCTGCTGGTTGTCAAACTTTTAATTTTTCTTATAGAGTTTATAATTTTCCTCATTTACAAAGGTGGATTAAGTCAGTAAAATCATAATTAATCATACAATTTGTACTCTATATTCAAAGATGATGTTGAAGCTAATAAGTGGAAATGGTAATAATTTTTAGCGGAGCTAAAATGATTAATAGTATCCTTTTTTTCAGTTGACATACAAGTTGTTTGTATAGAAAGCAGGTTATGTTTCAAGTGTGCTCGTATTGCAGCTCAGCAGTTGTAAAACTTTAATTGGTTCCTAAGTGAAGATTTTTGTAATTTGTAAGTTGTAACCCTTCTGTATATATACATTCATTCTACAAATCTAATTGAATTTTCTTTAGGTTTTGCCAACTTCAACTGGTTTTGTCTAACTGTTATTATGTTCTTGTAATCTTGCTGTTTCTTACTTCCCTGACTCACTGTAGCAATTATTCTTTATGATTGACTGCTAATACCAATGACTAGTTCTTACCTTTTTATTTTCCAGTTTATATACAGTGTATCCTGCCTCACACTCTTTCCTGATGGAATTGTCACAGCACTGTGTGATCATACTAATTTATCACAATTTTTTCTTTAAAGTACAATACAGTGTTTTCTTTCTCAGTGCAGGCCAAAAACTGTAGAATTTTTTCTTTCAGAAGTTTTCTTTAATATTTTATGATTGCTGTATGTTTTCATCTTTGTGTTTTCTAGTAACTGTGATCCTTTTTTTCTGATTTACTTGTCTGTCAATTGCTGTATATGCTTTACTGATCTGTCTTTGATAAAGATATTAAATACAGTATACACTTTATCAGTAGCAGTCAGGGCATTTTGGTACCCCAAGTGCTGATCATGCAAAGGTAGCTACAAGCCCCTCGTCACTAGCATCTACCCCATTTCCCCATGGTGCATAACTAATGTCAAAGTAAAACACACTGAACACTCAAGCTTTAAAACAGAAAGCACCTTTTTCTTTTATTGTTCTGAGGTTTAGAGCAAAAACTGCAAATAAATCCTGTGTAAGTAGTAATGGAACACTTGATAAATGTTCCAAAATACTACATATTGCAAAAAAAAAATTATGTACCAATTACTCTAAAATATGAGTCTACTACCCTAATGCCAAGATATTCTTTGTTTCCTTAGATTCTCACAAAATTTTGGCTTACCTCAAATGCGGTATTTTACCCTTATGTGGATGCTTTGGGTCCGGTTTGAAGAAGCAAAATGAAAAAAAACTGAACGTGATGTGTCACCCCATGCCACCATCCAGCAACCTAGCCTATACCATTTATGCCCAGAATAGCCATAGTACTTCAGTTTTTTATGAGATGAATCAGTGATCCAGGCAAAGTCCTTGGTCCTATGACAAAGTTTCATTGAATGGCTCATCATATAATTTAACATCCTCATCAGTAGATATTTCCTTGCTAAATAAAATATTAATTTTCTTCCCCCATCTTTGATTTACATGAATGTACAATCTTTTTCTCAATTTACCTTGATCCATTATATTTTCTGTTTCCATTTGTTTATTTTGTACATCATCTAACTCTTCCAGTATTTTTGCTACGTGAGTTTTTAGGTCATTATTTTTTAATGGCTCATCAGTTTTCTTTTTATTTTAAGAATATAAGAACATAAGAAAGGAGGAACACTGCAACAGGCCTACTGACCCATGCGGAGCAGGTCCATGCCACCCCCCCCCGGATTAGACCAATGACTCACCCCCCAGATTATCCCAATGACCCACCCAGTCTGGTCATCCCCACTCAAGGATGGAGCACTGTACCAGACCCAGCAGCACAAGCTAGTCAGGTCCAACTCACACCCACCCACACCCACTCATGTATTTATCTAACCTATTTTTAAAACTACACAACGTTTTAGCCTCAATAACTGTACTCGGGAGCTTGTTCCACTCATCCACAATTCTATTACCAAACCAGTGCTTTCCTATATCCTTCCTGAATCTGAATTTTTCCAACTTGAAACCATTGCTGCGAGTCCTGTCTTGGCTGGAAATTTTCAGCACACTATTTACATCCCCTTTATTTATTCCTGCTTTCCATTTATACACCTCGATCATATCCCCCCTAATTCTACGCCTTTCGAGAGAGTGCAGATTCAGGGCCTCAGTCTATCCTCATAGGGAAGATTTCTGATACATGGGATCATCTTTGTCATCCTCCTTTGTTCGTTTTCCAGAGCATTTATATCCGTTCTGTAATACGGTGACCAGAACTGAGCAGCATAGTCTAAATGAGGCCTAACCAAGGATATATAGAGTTGAAGAACGACCTGAGGACTTCTATTATTTATACTTCTAGATATGAAGCCAAGAATTCTGTTAGCTTTATTGCAAACACTAATGCACTGTTGTCTTGGTTTTAAGTTACTGCTAACCAGAACTCCTAAATCCTTTTCGCAATCGGTAGTATTAAGATCTACATTATTTAGTTTATATGTGGCATGGTTATTTAACTGTCCAGCATTTAGAACTTTGCATTTGTCAATATTAAACTGCATCTGCCACTTCTCCAACCATTGCATCAGTCTTTTCAAATCATCCTGGAGTGCTCTAATGTCCTCATTAGAACAAATTGGACGGCCTATTTTGGTGTCATCAGCAAATTTGCTTATTTCGCTATTTATTCCCTCATCTATGTCGTTTATGTAAATTGTGAATAACAACGGGCCCAACACTGACCCCTGAGGAACACCGCTTGTGACGTGCCCCCATTCTGATTTCTCCCCATTTATGCAAACTCTCTGCTGTCTATTTGTCAGCCATGCCTCTACCCAGGAAAAAATTTCTCCTCCTATTCCGTGTGCCCTAAGTTTCCTCAATAGCCTCTGGTGTGGAATTCTATCGAAAGCCTTACTGAAGTCCATATACACAATATCATATTCATTACCATATCTACCTCCTCAAACACCTTACTGAAAAAAGTTAGTAAATTCGTAAGACAGGAACGCCCCTTTGTAAAACCGTGTTGAGAATCATTAATCAATCTGTGCCTGTCAAGATGGCTACGAATTGCTTCGGCAATTATTGATTCCATAAATTTTCCCACTATGGAGGTAAGGCTTATTGGTCTTTAGTTCGAAGCCAAGGACCTGTCACCTGCCTTGTAAATAGGTATTACATTTGCCATTTTCCACTTATCAGGCACTATGCCAGTTTGTAGTGATATGTTAAAAAGATTAGCCAAAGGTATGCTAAGTTCCTCTTTACATTCCTTTAACACCCTTGCAAACAGTTCATCAGGACCTGGGGATTTGTTAGGTTTTAGTTTCTCTATTTGTCTGAGGACCATGTCACTAGTTACCGCAATCATACATAGTTTATTATCATCCTGTTCTATGTAATCTATTATTTCAGGAATATCGCTAGTATTTTCCTGGGTGAAAACTGAGAGGAAGAAGGTAATTTAGAATTTCACACATATCCTTATCACTGTCAGTGATCTGACCAGTGTTACTCTTAAGTGGGCCAATCTTGTCCCTAATCTTACTTCTGTATACCTGAAAGAACCCTTTTGGGTTAGTCTTTGAATCCCTTGTGACCTTAGCCTCATAATCTCTTTTTGCTTTTCTTATTCCTTTCTTTATTTCTCTCTTTAATTGAATATATTGATTTCTTAACTGCCCATCCCCTCGTTTGATACGCCTATATATGCCTCTCTTTTGACCAATGAGATGTTTTAATCCATTGTTCATCCATTTGGAATCATTTTTGTTAGATCTAATTTCCCTACTTGGAACAAAAGTTGTCTGGGCAGCTAGAACTATGCTTTGAAAAACGTCATATTGGCAACCAAGATCACCTACCTGACCCATAGTTAGGACATCCCAATTTAGCCCACCCAAGTAATTTTTCAGTCCCATGAAGTCGGCCAAGCGAAAATCTGGGACAGAGATTTGATTGCAGTTATCTGGGTAATTCCATGATATATTGAAACTAAGTGATTTGTGATCACTTTCCCCCAAGCTCATCATTAACCTCAAGATTATTAATTAGTGAATCTTTGTTGGCAAGAACCAAGTCAAGCAGATTGTTTTCTCTAGTTGGTTCTGTCACAACCTGTTCTAAAAAGCAATCCTGAACCATATCAAGAAAGTCACTAGACTTAAGATTTCCTGTCATATTGTTCCAATCAATTTGTCTAAAGTTAAAATCTCCCATTATCACAACATTTTCATATCTAGATGCCTTATGAATTTTGTCCCATAACAGCTTACTGCACTCCCTATCAAGGTTTGGGGGCCTATAAATCACACCCAAAATTAATTTGTCATGACCCTCGAGAAACTGAAGCCAAACCGATTCTGTGTTCGATGTTTCTAATCTTATATCATGTCTAAGACAACAATTTAAATTTTCTCTGACATACATCGCCACACCACCACCCTTCCTGTTGACTCTGTCAGTGTGGAATAGTTTATAACCCTGTATGTTGCATTCAGAAGGCATTCCTCTATCTTTCAGGTTGAACCGGGTCTCTGTTATACCAATAATATCTATATTACCTACATTGCAAGTAATTTTAGCTCATCTATCTTATTTCTTAGACTCCTACTATTTGTATTTGCCCTCTACTATCTCTCTTTGTTAGTTGATCAATTGATTTGCCATTACTAGCAACTTTATTTTGAATATTGTCTTTTAAACATATCCCTGAGATATCCTGGTAATAACTGCTGTTTTTAACCCTAATGCTGCAGCCTGATTGTTTCCCACAAACACCCATCCCTCTATAATCTATCAGTTTAAATTCCTAGACAAGTCATCAATTACCCTCTCAATTGAATTGGCTAATGCAACCACTCCATCCCCAGAGAGATGAACCCCATCCCTTGCATACATATCACGTTTGCCAAAGAAAAGGTCCCAGTTATCAATGAATGGGATTGCAGGTTCCTTGCAGTACCTGTCTAGCCAGCGATTTATGCCAATTGCCCTAGATATCCATTCATTGCCCACTCCCTTTCTAGGCAAGATGCTACATATGACTGGGATCCCTCCCTTAGGCCTAACTATTTCTATGGCTGACCTGTACTTATCCAGCAGCTCCTCTCTCCTGCCCTTCCCAGTGTCATTACCCCCAGCACTAAGACAGATAATGGGCTTGTTCCCATTACCTACCGTAGTATTATCCAACCTGCTGACTATGTCGCCAACACCAGCTCCAGGAAGAACACACTCTCTGTCTGACCTTTCTGTCTCTGTTACAAAATGCACGGCCCATATATCTTACCTGAGAATCGCCTACTATTAAAATATTCTTACCTTGATTAGCAGGGGAATCAGTGGTACCTTCAACCTCACTAACCACTGAAGTACACTCATCTTGGAGAACAGAGAATCGATTTTCTACCTTCACATCTTCTGTTAACTCTCCTCATCTTCCTCCTTCCTGAACTGTGAACCACTTGCCACTTAAAGCAGCTGCCACTATCACTGCTGGTGACCATTCCTTCCTTACCAGCTAAATCCTTCTCACACTCGCTCCCAAACTCATCTATGCGAAGCTTCAGCTTCCTATTTTCCTCCTGAAGAAGCAGAATCTCCTTCTTCAACACATGAACCTGGGATTCTAAAGCACTACAACAAGCCATGGTATGGGTAACAGCCACGCTAACTCCCAAGAGCTTAGCGGTATGACCGCACTTGACCACTGACCTCAGCGTACTCATCCATATTAACTATTTTTGCTTCTTATGTATCTTGGTTTGCAAAAGTGCTTGACAATGTCTTTAATGTGTTCTTTTTTCTTATTTATGGTACTTTACAACCTCTGTATTTTTGTTGCTACCAGCATTTAGTAGTTATATTAACTGATTTATGAAGATAGTGAGGCTCAGGTTAGGGTGTGTGGAAGAAAGGGAGACTACTTCCCGGTAAAGGTGGGTCTTAGACAGGGATATGTTGTGTTTCTTTATATATATATATATATATGCTTCTAAACTGTTGTGTTCCCGGCACCTCTGCAAAAACTGATTACGTATAGTGAGGTGAAAGTGTTGAATGATGATGAAAGTATTTTCTTTTTGGGGATTTTCTTTCAATTTTTGGGTCACCCTGCCTCGGTGGGAGATGGCCAACTTGTTAAAAAAAAAAATGAACTGATATTTCAATTTATTTCAAGTTCATCTTCTTGTACAGTATATCTTACTTGTTCTTTGAACAGAATTCCTGAGATAATACTATAATGGATCCTGAGTCAAATATGTATACAAACATTACTACCAGAAGCTCTTGTTAGGACTCTACCCCCTTATGTGTATGACTTTCCAGGTCAGTCAGGAGACCTTACTAGTTTCATAACTGACCTCTATGTCACAACAATCTGCAATAATTATTGAGCGATGGAATTTGCCAAATGCTCAATACGGCCTACTCTCATCATGAGTCATATGTTGATATTTCATCAAAGCACTGGATTTTTCATACTTTGACTGTCTAGGAGTTTTTTTTTTATTTCTGTTAGACTTAAAAGGACCCCATGTGCAGTATTCATTATAAATATTTCAATCTCAAGATTGTTCCAGGACATGGCCTAGTGTATGTGAGACACCTCAGCTCAGCCAGGAGGGCCTGCCAAAATGATAAAACTGCCAACTATTCCCATTGGGTGATTAGATTAAGAAGGGAAACAGACGTGTACCATATATGATTATAAAAGGATGTGAAAGACCTTATAAGTAACATTACTTAACGCCATCATCAGGGAGAGCAAGTAGCCATAGTTGTAAACTGAGAAAGTAGAGATGCTGAAATGCTGCAAAGAATTTTTTCACAGTGTGATAAAACAATTGAATGAGTTATGAGGAAGATACAGCAGTCAGGGCTCCAGCTATGATACTCAACTTTTGGGAATACAGTATTAAAAAAAAATTGATAAATTTATACTGATGTAACACTGCCAGTATATTATTGTTCCTGTAACCACAAATAGATAATTACAACACAGTACTACATACTGCATGTTGTGCAGCAGAACCTAGCACATGCTAACTTAATGCAGTACCCACCTTCTCTCGGACATTCTCTATGTGAATTTGCTCCCCAAAGTCTCACCTTCATGAAAATAAATTTTTTGTTAATTGATCATTTATAAAATGGGAACTGCTTGTATTTTTTCTATACTATTTGAAAGTAATTTGGATACTTTTTTCATGAACTCTTCACGTCCTTTTATTGTAAAATTACTAACTCATCATATTGATTTTCTTCAGACAGGTGCTTGAGGAGAATGAAAAAGACTTGGATACTTTGGAAGGCAAACTGGAGAAGGTATGATGCTTGTTAGGTCTTTTTGAAATAGTATATAAATCAGCCAGTGTCATATTTCAGAGGTTGTATTTTTTGGTCTAAAACCCTTTTGTAAACATTTTAGCTTGAATGATTAGGTTAGGTAGCTATTTTTAAGTTAAAGCTACAAATAAACGGTGGAAGACTGCGCTGCCTTGCTCTTAGTCAGCAGATTGGAAAAATTCAACAGAGTATACTACCCATATTTGTGCATGTTACTTAAGTTTTTTTTATTTGTGATATTTAATATCAAGATATTAATTAACTCTTATAATTTTTGAGTGCAATTGTTGAATCTTGTTGCAGCAAAATTCTGCTGTGTGAAATCTCATTGTATGAGAGTTTAATGTACTTGATAACTCCTCCTGAAGTAATACTCTCATGTGGTAACTTGGAAGCTCTTCACTGATGTAATTGTGCTTCGCCTCATTTTTGAATAAGTGATTAATTTTTAAAGCAAACTTATAAATTGTACCAATATTTTTAACAAATTAGGAATTTTGAACCACTAGATGTTGAGTAGCTGGTGATAATATTTTTTAATCACTTGCTGACTCCCACAGAGGCAGGGTGACCTGAAAAAGAAACTCTTTCACCATCATTCATACTATCACTGTCTTGCCAGAGATACACAGATACAACAGTTCAGATGTCCCTCCAAACAGCAAATATATCTAACATCCCCTTCAGAGTGCAGGCACTGTATTTCCCACCTCCAGGACTCTAAGTCTGGCTAACTGGTTTTCCTGAATCCCTTCCCAAAATGCCTGCTGGATGTTCAAGCCCATTGAACACAAAACCACCTTTACCCCCTCTCTCCATCCTTTCCTAGGATGACCTTTAACCCCACCTTCCCTCCACTACAGATTTATACACCCTTCAAGTCATCCTATTTTGCTTTTTTTTTTTTATGGTGAGGCCTGGTAAATTATATAATAATTTTTATAATGCCTCCCCACTTAATGAAATTTAATGCCTTTTATCATTTCTTTTTGATGCTAGGTAGTGAAGCAATGTAACCAGATGGTGGCTGCCGGAAAGCAGTTTAATCAAGAGCAGAGTAAGTACCTACGTATGTGTTTGTATCTTAGTACAAACATTGTATATTATTACCCTTGTTTAGGTATCAAATAATCCTAATTTATTCACTTGAATAAAAAAAAGCAGTTGGTTAAAATTGTACGAATTTCAAAGAAGACTCTGGAATGCTAAGAATAGCTTCGAATGTAAGTAGTTTTTGCATTTGAAAGATACTTGAATTGTAGTTTTAGTGTCCAGGGACAAGAGGTTTGCATGAGGAGGTATTGATTATGGCTATAGTGTATAGTTGTGAAATTTTAGGTGGTCTAAATATAGATAAACAAAATATATGAATAGTGTACATAGAATAATAACTTAAGGTATAATTACCCTCACTATTTTTTGTGTGAATAAAAATTCAAATGGAAAACAAGCGTAATACAGCCTGTCCTCACCTAGCGATGTACTCGTTTACCAATGACTCAGACTTACAACGGGCTCTCTGACCAGTATGCACACCTAAATAATGTACATATATTAGAGCTGATTTCCTCTATTCTGTTTATTACAGTATACAGTACACTACTGTATAAACATTTAAAAATATACCAAAAATGTTATAAATGGTACAAATGTGACATTACCCCACTACCATTATAGTATGCTCCTCACTTAATGACGAATTTGTTTACCGATGTGGTCTCAGGCACGGAACGCCATCATTAAGTGAGGAGAGACTGTATAAGAGGGGCCTGGAGACGTGACTAATGAACAGAGAAAATGTTATATTTAGTGCTTGGAATGTTTGCAGTGTTAATTCTGGACCCCATTTCGAAATTGGCCTTTCTTGAATTTTGTATGACATTTTCAAAATTACCAATTTCTTATCGCTATTGGGTAGTTGAAATAGGCAGATGGGCAGTTTCTTGTACTCAGTCAATAGAACAAAAGGAATTCTAGTGAAATAGCATGAATATAATTGACTGGAACAATGGAATTGGCCCAAAGTGGGCGAAATTGCCAGTATGTATCACCGAGACTGCTACTTTGCGAGAGCGTAATTCCCACCTCCATCAAATTTCGAACTTTTGTTATCATTACCATTGGTAAAAGATTCTCTATAATTCCAAAGGAAAAATATTTTTTTTTAAATTCTTCGACACAGTGCAAATTTACGAGCAGGCGTCTCGACAATGAAAGGGTTAAAGGAGGGGTTTGGGATATTGGCTGTTTAGAGTGACATCTAAACTGTCATATCTGGGCATCTCTGCAAAGACAGTGATTGTGTGAATGATGGTGAAAGTGTTGAATGATACAAATACAAATACAAAATTTATTTCACTGCAGGGGTTACAATGTGTGACTACATTTTGTAATTTGTTAGATACAAAGAAAGCCACTGTCATGACGGGGCATTTTGGGCAGACTAATCTTAGTACTAAAGACTACTTGTGTGTAGACAGGTTTGGAGTGGTAAATTTTAATTGTTCATTATTTTACCTTATTACTATTGTGAGGTAGTTTTGGGTCACCCTGCCTCAGTTTTAGATGGCTGACATGTTGAAAAAGTAAAATGTCTGGAACTGCTATCAAAGATGCAAATAGAAATACCACATAAGGATAAGCCATTACTGTAGGCAAAAAATTTGAAATGAGTACCAAATTATGAGCCTATATATATCCTCTCGCAGTGGGAACGTTGAGAGGGGTTAGGTATTGGAAGGTGAACATTGTAAAGCATGGGATTTATTGGACCTTATAGTAAGTTTTCAGAAGCCAGAGCAGGTTTTAATGCCCCTTGGCTCTGTTGTATTATGTCTTAAAAGAGTAACTGAGTTTTATATGCTTGTTTGTGTGTGATTATGAAAATTTGTTACTCTTCATTTCAGACAACTGATTCACATTTTATGGGACCTAGCAGGGTATTTTGGGAATGACACTAATGTGCAGTCAGCTCTGAACAGAATGTTAGCTGCCCTTGGAGAAGCTGCCAAATATCATACAATATTGGTTGACCAGGCTGCACGGGCTGTCACGAAGAACCTTGCAAGCTTTATTAAAAAGTAAGACTATACTGTAGTATTTTACCTCATGCAAAATTTATTATTGCTTTGTTTTTAGACCATTACCATATATTTTTAAAATAAGTTTGATACTGTACCTAAAATGCTGGGGCAAAAACTCAAGGTGCATACAAGAATAACATTGAATGTACTTAAGTGGAACAAAAAGTATCTTAGGGGAAGGAAGCAAAGAGTGGTTGTCATGAAAGAGATGTCAGAATGGGGAAGAAGGGAACTAGCAGGGTTCCACAAGCATTGGGATTAGGACCAGTACTGTTTCTTGTTCATGTTAATGACAGTCCAGATGGGATTGATTCAGGTATATCCCTGTTTGATGTTGATGTAAAACATATGGGGACAAAAACAAATGAGGACAAGGAAAGGCTCCAAAGGGATCTGGACAAATTGCAAGTGGTCAGATGTTGTTGCTTGAATTCAACCCCCAGTAAATGCAAGGTCATGAAGATTGGGGATGAACAAGAAGACTGGACATGGGGTATAGACTAGGGGACAGAGGCTGCAGACTTGACTCAGAGATAGACCTAGGGGATGAACATAATGGTCAGTATAATGCCAGAGGCTCACATCAACTGAATAACCTCTGCAGCCAATGCTCATCCAGTAAATCTAAATGTAGCCTACAGCAGTCTCAACAGTCATTCTGGGCCCTTTATACAACATCTTGAAGTATGCAGCACCAGTATGGAACCTGCACCTGAAGAAAGCATATTAAGAAACTGGAGAAAGTGCAGAAGTAGGCATCAGAGCTTAGTCCTGAGCTAAGGGGCATGAGCTACAAGGAGAGGCTAATGGAATTGGACCTAACAACATTGGAGGATATGATAACAGCATGCAAGACATTCTGGCGAATTGATAAGGTAGACAGGCACAGGCTGTTGAAAGGCAAGATCTATATATATAAAGCTGAAGGGGGTGGGAGAGTTTCAGTGGAGAGGAATAAATGGGATTAGGTCAGGGGTTTCAAATAGTTAGAGCTAAAGAAGGAGTAGCAATAATGTTGAAGGATAAGCTATGGCAGGAAAAGAGGGAGTATGTATGTGGAGTAAAATAAAGGTTGGATGTGAAAAGTGGGTTATAGTAAGCATATATGCACCTGGAGAAGAGAGAAGTGTAGAGGAAAGAGTGAGAGATTTTGGGAAATGTTGAGTGAATGCATGGGGAGTTTTGAACCAAGTGTGAGAGTACTTGTGGTTGGGGATTTCAGTGCTAAAGTGGGTAAAAATGTTGTGGAGGGAGTAGTAGGTAAATTTGGGGTGCCAGGAGTAAATGAAAATGGGGAGCCTTTAATTGAGCTATGTGTAGAAAGAGGTTTGGTAATAAGTAATACACATTTTATGAAAAAGAGGATAAATAAATATACAAGGTATGATATAGCACATAATGAAAGTGGTTTGTTAGATTATGTATTGGTGGATAAAAGGTTGATGGGTAGGCTTCAGGATGTACACATTTATAGATGGGCAACTGATATATCGGATCATTATCTAGTTGTAGCTACAGTTAGAGTAAGAGGTAGATGGGACAAGAGGAAAATGGCAACAACAACAACTAAGAGGGAGGTGAAAGTGTATAAACTATTGGCAGAAAGGTGGGCTGGTGCAAATACATGTACGAGTAGTGAGGCGGAGGGTTGAAGAGGGTTGGAATAGTTTTAAAAATGCAGTATTAGAATGTGGGGCAGAAGTTTGTGGTTATAGGAGGGTGGGTGCAGGAGGAAAGAGGAGTGATTGGTGGAATGATGAGGTAAAGGGTGTGATAAAAGAGAAAAAGATAGCTTATGAGAGGATTTTACAAAGCAGAAGTGTTATAAGAAGAGTAGAGTACAGTGGACCCCCGGCTTACGATATTAATTCGTTCCAGGAGGTTGTTTGGGTGCCGTTACCGAATGAATTTGCTCCCATGAGGAATATTGTAAATTAGATTAATCTGTGTCAGACCCCCAAAAATACACTTAAAAAAGCACTTACAAAAATACACTTACATAATTGTTCGAGTTGGGAGCTGATCATAAGTCAGGGATCCACTGTATATGGAGAGTAAAAGAAAGGTGAAGAGAGTAGTGAGAGAGTGCAAAAGGAGAGCAGATGATAGAGTGGGAGAGGCACTGTCAAGAAATTTTAATGAAAATAAGAAAAAAATTTGGAGTGAGTTAAACAAATGGATTTGTCAGTTAAAAATGGAGTAGGAGAGTTAGTAGATGGGAAGATGGAGGTATTGGGTAGATGGCGAGAATACTTTGAGGAACTTTTAAACGTCGACGAAGAAAGAGAGGCGGCAATTTCATGCACTGGCCAGGGAGGTATACCATCTTTTAGGAGTGAAGAAGAGCAGGATGTAAGTGTGGGAGAGGTGCGCGAGGCATTACGTAGAATGAAAGGGGGTAAAGCAGCTGGAACTGACGGGATCTTGACAGAAATATTAAAAGCAGGGGATGATACAGTGTTGGAGTGGTTGGTATTTTTGTTTAATAAATGTATGAAAGAGGGGAAGGTACCTAAGGATTGGCAGAGAGCATGTATAGTCCCTTTATATAAAGGGAAGGGGTACAAAAGAGATTGTAAAAATTATAGAGGAATTAGTTTACTGAGTATACCAGGAAAAGTGTACGGTAGGGTTATTATTGAAAGAATCAGAGGTAAGACAGAATGTAGGATTGCGGATGAGTAAGGAGATTTTAGAGTGGGTAGGGGATGTGTAGATCAAGTGTTTACATTGAAGCATATATGTGAGCAGTATTTAGATAAAGGTAGGGAAGTTTTTATTGCATTTATGGATTTAGAAAAGGCATATGATAGAGTGGATAGAGGAGCAATGTGGCAGATGTTGCAAGTATATGGAATAGGTGGTAAGTTATTAAATGCTGTAAAGAGTTTTTATGAGGATAGTGAGGCTCAGGTTAGGGTGTGTAGAAGAGAGGGAGACTACTTCCCGGTAAAAGTAGGTCTTAGACAGGGATGTGTAATGTCACCATGGTTGTTTAATATATTTATAGCTGGGGTCGTAAAAGAAGTAAATGCTAGGGTGTTCGGGAGAGGGGTGGGATTAAATTTTGGGGAATCAAATTCAAAATGGGAATTGACACAGTTACTTTTTGCTGATGATACTGTGCTTATGGGAGATTCTAAAGAAAAATTGCAAAGGTTAGTGGATGAGTTTGGGAATGTGTGTAAAGGTAGAAAGTTGAAAGTGAACATAGAAAAGAGTAAGGTGATGAGGGTGTCAAATGACTTAGATAAAGAAAAATTGGATATCAAATTGGGGAGGAGGAGTATAGAAGAAGTGAATGTTTTCAGATACTTGGGAGTTGACGTGTCGGCGGATGGATTTATGAAGGATGAGGTTAATCATAGAATTGATGAAGGAAAAAAGGTGAGTGGTGCGTTGAGGCATATGTGGAGTCAAAAAACGTTATCTATGGAGGCAAAGAAGGGAATGTATGAAAGTATAGTAGTACCAACACTCTTATATGGGTGTGAAGCTTGGGTGGTAAATGCAGCAACGAGGAGACAGTTGGAGGCAGTGGAGATGTCCTGTTTAAGGGCAATGTGTGGTGTAAATATTATGCAGAAAATTCGGAGTGTGGAAATTAGGAGAAGGTGTGGAGTTAATAAAAGTATTAGTCAGAGGGCTGAAGAGGGGTTGTTGAGGTGGTTTGGTCATTTAGAGAGAATGGATCAAAGTAGAATGACATGGAGAGCATTTAAATCTGTATGAGAAGGAAGGTGGGGTAGGGATCGTCCTTGAAAAGGTTGGAAGGAAGGGGTAAGGGAGGTTTTGTGGGCGAGGGGCTTGGACTTCCAGCAGGCGTGCATGAGCGTGTTTGATAGGAGTGAATGGAGACGAATGGTATTTGGGACCTGACGATCTGTTGGAGTGTGAGTAGGGTAATATTTAGTGAAGGGATTCAGGGAAACCCATTATTTTCATATAGCCGGACTTGAGTCCTGGCAATGGGAAGTACAATGCCTGCTCTCTAAAGGAGGGGTTTTGGGATATTAGCAGTTTGGAGGGATATGTTGTGTATCTTTATAGGTATATGCTTCTAAACTGTTGTGTTCTGAGCACCTCTGCAAAAACAGTGATTATGTGTGAGTGAGGTGAAAGTGTTGAATGATGAAAGTATTTTCTTTTTGGGGATTTTCTTTCTTTTTGGGTCACCCTGCCTCGGTGGGAGATGGCTGACTTGTTAAAAAAAAAAAAATATTCAACTGATATTTTGGATTGAATTATTTTCCACAATCTGCTTAGGTTTTGCAATGTTATCTGATACATTCCCACATTAAGCTAAATTTTTAAATTCCTTCCACAGAGAATTGCGCTCTGTGAAGGATTTACGACACTATTTTGAGAAGGTAAGCGGTGAAATGGATAATGTACTACAGCGTTCGTCTAGTGTGTCCCGTTCCCGTGCTAATGATGCAGATGACATAAAAAACTTGGTCATAGCCACTCGCAGAGCCTTCCGTCATACAAGTGTGGATTATGTACATGCTATTTCAATAGCACAAGGCAAAAAACGCCATGAGGTGGTGGATGCTGTGAGTATGAACATTACATGTATTTTTTTTTTTTTTTTTTTTTTTTCAAACAAGTCGGCTGTCTCCCACCGAGGCAGGGTGACCCAAAAAAGAAAGAAAATCCCCAAAAAGAAAATACTTTCATCATCATTCAACACTTTCACCACACTCGCACATTATCACTGTTTTTGCAGAGGTGCTCAGAATACAACAGTTTAGAAGCATACACATATAAAGATACACAACATATCCCTCCAAACTGCCAATATCCCAAACCCCTCCTTTAAAGTGCAGGCATTGCACTTCCCATTTCCAGGACTCAAGTCCGACTATATGAAAATAACCGGTTTCCCTGAATCCCTTCACTAAATATTACCCTGCTCACACTCCAACAGATCGTCAGGTCCCAAGTACCATTCGTCTCCATTCACTCCTATCTAACACGCTCACGCACGCTTGCTGGAAGTCCAAGCCCCTTGCCCACAAAACCTCCTTTACCCCCTCTCTCCAACCCTTTCGAGGACGACCCCTACCCCGCCTTCCTTCCCCTATAGATTTATATGCTTTCCATGTCATTCTACTTTGATCCATTCTCTCTAAATGACCAAACCACCTCAACAACCCCTCTTCTGCCCTCTGACTAATACTTTTATTAACTCCACACCTTTTCCTAATTTCCACACTCCAAATTTTCTGCATAATATTTACACCACACATTGCCCTTAAACAGGACATCTCCACTGCCTCCAACCGTCTCCTCGCTGCTGCATTTACCACCCAAGCTTCACACCCATATAAGAGTGTTGGTACTACTATACTTTCATACATTCCCTTCTTTGCCTCCATAGATAACGTTTTTTGACTCCACATATACCTCAACGCACCACTCACCTTTTTTCCCTCATCAATTCTATGATTAACCTCATCCTTCATAAATCCATCCGCCGATACGTCAACTCCCAAGTATCTGAAAACATTCACTTCTTCTATACTCCTCCTCCCCAATTTGATATCCAATTTTTCTTTATCTAAGTCATTTGACACCCTCATCACCTTACTCTTTTCTATGTTCACTTTCAACTTTCTACCTTTACACACATTCCCAAACTCATCCACTAACCTTCGCAATTTTTCTTTAGAATCTCCCATAAGCACAGTATCATCAGCAAAAAGTAACTGTGTCAATTCCTATTTTGAATTTGATTCCCCAAAATTTAATCCCACCCCTCTCCCGAACACCCTAGCATTTACTTCCTTTACAACCCCATCTATAAATATATTAAACAACCATGGTGACATTACACATCCCTGTCTAAGACCTACTTTTACCGGGAAGTAGTCTCCCTCTCTTCTACACACCCTAACCTGAGCCTCACTATCCTCATAAAAACTCTTTACAGCATTTAATAACTTACCACCTATTCCATATACAGTGGACCCCCGCATAGCGAACTTAATCCGTGCAAGAGGGCTGGTCGTTATGCGAAATGTTCGCTATGCGAATTAATTTTCCCCATAAGAAATAATGGAAATAAAATTAATCCGTGCAAGACACCCAAAAGTATGAAAAAAAAAATTTTTTACCACAAAAAAATGTTAATTTTAGTACACACAAACTGAAAAAGGCATGCACAATTACATGACACTTACTTTTATTGAAGATCTGGTGATGATTGATGGGATGGGAGGAGGGGAGAGAGAGTGTTAGTGTTTAGAAGGGGAATCCCCTTCCATTAGGACTTGAGGTAGCAAGTCCTTTTCCGGGGTTACTTCCCTTCTTCTTTTAATGCCACTAGGACCAGCTTCAGAGTCACTGGACCTCTTTCGCACAACAAATCTGTCCATAGAGCTCTGTACCTCCCGTTCCTTTACGATTTGTCTAAAATGGGCCATAACATTGTCATTGAAATAGTCACCAGCACGGCTTGCAACAGCTGTGTCAGGGTGATTTTCATCCATAAAGGTTTGCAGTTCAACCCACTGTGCACACATTTCCTTAATTTTTGAAGTAGGCACAATGGATTCCACAACTGGCATAGGCTTCTCAGGGTTAGCCCCAAACCCTTCAAAATCTTTCTTAATTTCCATACTAATTCTCACCCTTTTTACCACAGGGTTGGCACTAGAAGCTTTCTTGGGGCCCATGGTCACTTATTTTCCATTAACAGCACCGAAAACACTGTAATAATACGAAATATTCCGAGTGTATGCTTGAATGTTTCCGCGGAGGCTGGCTGGTAAACAATGGACGCGTCTCGGATGAAGGTCGCTGAGCGGGTTTTTGTCCACTATGCGGGGCAAAATTTTGGCGAACAAAGCGTTCGCTATGCGGATTGTTCGCTATGCAAGGCGTTCGCTATGCGGGGGTCCACTGTACTTGCAACATCTGCCACATTGCTCCTCTATCCACTCTATCATATGCCTTTTCTAAATCCATAAATGCAATAAAAACTTCCCTACCTTTATCTAAATACTGTTCACATATATGCTTCAATGTAAACACTTGATCTACACATCCCCTACCCACTCTGAAACCTCCTTGCTCATCCGCAATCCTACATTATGTCTTACCTCTAATTCTTTCAATTATAACCCTACCGTACACTTTTCCTGGTATACTCAGTAAACTTATTCCTCTATAATTTTTACAGTCTCTTTTGTCCCCTTTCCCTTTACATAAAGGGACTATACATGCTCTCCGCCAATCCCTAGGTACCTTCCCCTCTTTCATACATTTATTAAACAAAACTACCAACCACTCCAACACTATATCCCCCCCTGCTTTTAACTTTTCTGTCATGATCCCATCAGTTCCATCTGCTTTACCCCCTTTCATTTTACGTAATGCCTCACGTACCTCCCCCACACTCACATTCTGCTCTTCTTCACTCCTAAAAGATGGTATACCTCCCTGACCAGTGCATGAAATTACTGCCTCTCTTTCTTCCTTAACATTTAAAAGTTCCTTAAAATATTCTCGCCATCTACCTAATACCTCCATCTCCCCATCTACTACTCCCCTACTCTGTTTTTAACTGACAAATCCATACTTTCCCTAGGCTTTCTTAACTTGTTTAACTCACTCCAAAATTTTTTCTTATTTTCATTAAAATTTCTTGACAGTGCCTCTCCCACTCTATCATCTGCTCTCCTTTTGCACTGTCTCACCACTCTCTTTACCTTTCTTTTACTCTCCATATACTCTGCTCTTCTTATAACACTTCTACTTTGTAAAAACCTCTCATAAGCTACCTTTTTCTCTTTTATCACACCCTTTACTTCATCATTCCACCAATCACTCCTCTTTCCTCCTGCCCCCACCCTCCTATAACCACAAACTTCTGCCCCACATTCTAATACTGCATTTTTAAAACTATTCCAACCCTCTTCAACCCCCCCACTACTCATCTTTGCACTAGCCCACCTTTCTGCCAATAGTCGCTTATATCTCACCCGAACTTCGTCCTCCCTTAGCTTATACACTTTCACCTCCCTCTTACTTGTTGTTGCCACCTTCCTCTTTTCCCATCTACCTCTTACTCTAACTGTAGCTACAACTAAATAATGATCTGATATATCAGTTGCCCCTCTATAAACATGTACATCCTGGAGCCTACCCATCAACCTTTTATCCACCAATACATAATCTAATAAACTACTTTCATTACGTGCTACATCTTACCTTGTATATTTATTTATCCTCTTTTTCATAAAATATGTATTACTTATTACCAAATCTCTTTCTACACATAGCTCAATTAAAGGCTCCCCATTTACATTTACCCCTGGCACCCCAAATTTACCTACTACTCCCTCCATAACATTTTTACCCACTTTAGCATTGAAATCCCCAACCACCATTACTCTCACACTTGATTCAAAACTCCCCACGCATTCACTCAACATTTCCCAAAATCTCTCTCTCTCCTCTACACTTCTCTCTTCTCCAGGTGCATACATGCTTATTATAACCCACTTTTCACATCCAATCTTTATTTTACTCCACATAATCCTTGAATTAATACATTTATAGTCCCTCTTTTCCTGCCATAGCTTATCCTTCAACATTATTGCTACTCCTTCTTTAGCTCTAACTCTATTTGAAACCCCTGACCTAATCCCATTTATTCCTCTCCACTGAAACTCTCCTACCCTCTTCAGCTTTGTTTCACTTAAAGCCAGGACATCCAGCTTCTTCTCATTCATAACATCCACAATCATCTCTTTCTTATCATCTGCACAACATCCATGCACATTCAGACTTCCCACTTTGACAATTTTCTTCTTCTTATTCTTTTTAGTAATCTTTACAGGAAAAGGGGTTACTAGCCCATTGTTCCCAGCATTTTAGTTGACTTTTACAACACACATGGCTTACGGAGGAAAGATTCTTATTCCACTTCCCCATGGATTTATTATTTTATTTTATTTTATTATCACACTGGCCGATTCCCACCAAGGCAGGGTGGCCCGAAAAAGAAAAACTTTCACCATCATTCACTCCATCACTGTCTTGCCAGAAGGGTGCTTTACACTACAGTTTTTAAACTGCAACATTAACACCCCTCCTTCAGAGTGCAGGCACTGTACTTCCCATCTCCAGAACTCAAGTCCAGCCTGCCGGTTTCCCTGAACCCCTTCATAAATGTTACTTTCCTCACACTCCAACAGCACGTCAAGTATTAAAAACCATTTGTCTCCATTCACTCCTATCAGACACGCTCACGCATGCCTGCTGGAAGTCCAAGCCCCTCGCACACAAAACCTCCTTTACCCCCTCTCTCCAACCTTTCCTAGGCCGACCCCTACCCCGCCTTCCTTCCACTACAGACTGATACACTCTTGAAGTTATTCTGTTTCGCTCCATTCTCTCTACATGTCCGAACCACCTCAACAACCCTTCCTCAGCCCTCTGGACAACAGTTTTGGTAATCCCGCACCTCCTCCTAACTTCCAAACTACGAATTCTCTGCATTATATTCACACCACACATTGCCCTCAGACATGACATCTCCACTGCCTCCAGCCATGGATATAAAAGGAAAAGTAATAAGACCAAGAACTATTAAGATAAAATCAAAGAAAACTCAGATGAGTGTGTATAAATAAATGTGTACATGTATGTGTAGTGTGACCTAAGTGTAAGTAGAAGTAGCAAGACATACCTGTAATCTTGTATATTTATGAGACAGACAAAAGACATCAGCAATCCTACCATCATGTAAAACAATCACAGGCTTTCGTTTTACACTCACTTGGCAGGACGGTAGTACCTCCCTGGGTGGTTGCTGTTGGAGTGTGAGCAAAGTAACATTTATGAAGGGATTCAGGGAAACAGGCAGGCCGGACTTGAGTCCTGGAGATGGGAAGTACAGTGCCTGCACTCTGAAGGAGGGGTGTTAATGTTGCAGTTTAAAAACTGTAGTGTAAAGCACCTTTTTGGCAAGACAGTGATGGAGTTAATGATGGTGAAAGTTTTTCTTTTTTCGGGCCTCCCTGCCTTGGTGGGAATCGGCCAGTGTGTTAATAAAATAATAACTTTAATTTTAGTTGAAAATCATTATAGCTGTGACTTACATAAGGTCTAGCAAAAAAATTTTTATTTTGTTTGTTTAAAATCTATTTGTAAAAGTTGTAAATGATAGTTAAATTATTGTTTTAAGAAGTTTCAGTCTCCCCCCTATGTCTATATGCAGCATGTCATTTCAAGAGCTGAATTTAGGCAGTTTCTCTTACTTGTTTATGTGACCCTTCTTACTAGTAAATATATGAATGATACATTTTCTGTAAGTATTTTATACAGCCTGAAGAAATTATGTATAGTTTGCGATGCATGAAATTTCCTCTTTCAGCTTTTATCGTATTTGAAGGCCTACAGTACCTTCTACCACCAAGGCACTGATCTCTGTGATGATCTCAAACCCTCCCTAGACAAGATTAGCCAAGAGGTAATATTATTAACTCAAAAACCTGTACACTTTTTGTTCTTTACGTGGTGTTGATTTTTTATCCTTTTTTTTTATCCCAATAGTAATTATCAGACATTTGATCTGTGAGAGCTTGAGAGTATGTTCGTACTGAGCCATAATATTAGAGTTTTTTAAGTTTATATATTTAATGATATTAGATTATACAGTTTGAATTTAATTAGTTGCTGTTAATTTTTTTTTATACATTACATGATTTAGAAGTACTGTTATGTTAAATGTTTAATAAGAAATATGAAAGTGGGTTTCAAAATAGTTAAAATAATTTTATAAAGTAGATCGGTGTAAATTACTAATTTAAAGGAGATTAAAAATGATGTGCAAGGTGATGATAGTAACAAAAAGTATAGACCGTGAGAAATTGGATATTAGATTTGAAAGTGAGAGTATGGAAGAAGGGAATATATTTAGTACAGTGGACCCTCGACCAACAATGGCATCATCTAACGTTAAATCCGACTAACGATACATGTTAACGCTAACATGTTGCCTCGACTAACGCTAAAAAAACTCGACTAACGATATTCGTACTCGGGTACCAATTAATATCGTTAGCCGAGGGTCCACTGTATTTGGGAGTAGATGTGTCGGAAGATGGGTTTTTGAAAGAAGGGGTGAACCATAGAATAGATAAAGGGAAAAATAAGTAGGTGGCATATTGAGGTGTAGAGAGTAAAAAAGGACATTTGTGGAGGCAGAGAGACGAATGAACCAAGAGTATAGTGGTATTATTTCTTTTGTATGGGTGTGAGGCATGTTTTTTTTTTTAACAGCAGTTTTGCAGGCATCAGTTGAGTTAAATTCTTAGCAAAGCTTAAAATTCCTCACACTATATGTCTTGTAGTGCAGGAGAAAACAGGTTATTATACCTGTAAAATATTGATGAGACTGGTTTCAGATCTGTTGAGTGGCATAGTCTAGTACATGAGCAGGAAGGATTGTAATTAAAGCAAAAGCTCTCAGTGAAAAGCAGGATTGCAGTAAATTCACTGAAAGATAACAATAAGAAAAAAAAAAAAGGGGTCAGAGGCCTTTCAACTCCCTCTCTTCAAGTACAAGAAAATTTCCAATAGACCCTAAACTTTTTTCAAGTGGAAACTTTGCAGATTTCTTGAACCATTCCTTTTGGCCAGGCAATGGGGTTTAGGGGTATAATACCAAAAGCCTGGCTGACCATTCCTCACCATGTTTTGGCTGAAACTGCATGGGGGCGCAGTTCTGATACCACAAAAGTCCCAAAATAATTATGTATAATCTTTTTTTTGTTGAAAATAAGTTTTATTCTTGCACTTTTTAAAATTCTTATTTATTTTTGATTATGCTGTACTAATATATATTTTCTTTAAGGTGAATCTGATGAGCCATGAAGAAAATACCTAGAAAAAACCTTAAAAAACCGCCAAAAACAGATGTCAAGAAAAAGACGGGATATCCTTGGAGCAGATGGCCCACACCCAGCCATTTACTATGCATGCTATTTATTCAAACAAAAACCCAAAAGCTTCAGCCCGGAACGCCGTTACTTTCTCTTCAAAAACCAATTGGTTACCGAAAAGCGGTCAGGTAAGGTAGAATAAAAATTTTTTTTATATAGTGTAGATAAGAAGTCTGAAATTACATATTTTTTTAAATTTTTTTTAAAAAGTTACAGAGCCATGCTTCATTCAAAAGCCCCACCCCACCACACAAAATACATATTTTTTTTTACACCAGCCGTCTCCCACGGGGGAGGGTGATAGCGTTTAGGTATCTTGGGGATAAAAAAAACTTATCCCAAGGCAAAAAGGGAAAGGGACGAAGCAAGTGGTACCAAAACAAAATTGTGTGGGGGTGAAGCATGGTCTTTTAAACTGCAGCGAGGGGTGACTGGAGGGAGTGGAGGTTTTGTCTAAGGCAGGGTGGGGTAAATATACAAAATTTGTTGTAAAATTAGGGGGCGTGGGGAATTACAAAATATTAGTCAGAGGGGTGAAGAGGGGCTGTTTAGGTGGTTTGGTCATTAGAAGAAAGAAAAAGGTAAAATACATAGAGAGCAATAAATCTGTTGGGAAGGGAAAATGAGGTAGGGGCATCCCCAAAAAGATTGGAGGGAGGGGGAAGGTTGTTTTGTGGGCTAGGGGGTTGGACTTTCACAAGCTGTGGATCGTGTTTTAACGATAAATGGAGATGAATGCTTTGGGACCTGAAGGCTGTTGGAGTGGAGCAGGGGAATATTTTGTGAAGGGGTTCAGGGGAAAATGGTTAGCGGCTTAAGTCCCGGAAATGGGAAGTACAATGCCTGTGCTTTAAAGGAGGAGTTTAGGATATTGGTAGTTTGGAGAGTTGTCTAAACTGTCGTATCTGAGTGCCTCTGCAAAGACTGATTATGTGTGAGTGATGGTGAAAGTGTTGAATGATGAAAGTTTTTTTTCTTTCTTTTTGGGTCACCTTGTTTCGGTGGGAAACAGCTGATGTGTTTAAAAGAAAAAATAACATACATCAGCTCTACTTGTGTTAAGTATTATTTGTAAGATATACAGGAGGTCTCCATCTTACAAACAAGTTGCAGTCCTAATTTTTTTGACTTAAAATGAGTTGTTTATACAAGAAACAAAGAGTGCAAAGGTTAGTTCTGTTTCACTCATGTTTGTATTTCGGCTCAGCAGTTATAGACTAACTGGCTCCTGAGGGCTGTGTTTGGAAATGCAGATATATATAACTTGTGGCATTGGTAAGTTAGAAATTTCTTGTATATAATCATTATATGGAAAAAGTATGGTTAGTTGCATTTGTGATTTAGGAAAAGGCTTATAACATGGTGCTTCTGGTAGAAATGTGACTAAACATTGCAAATTCATGGCATTGGTGGTAAGTTTTTGAAAAATAACATGGTGCTTCAGAGAGCAACATGACCAAGAATTCCAGATGTGCTGAATAAGTGGAAAGTTATTGAAAACATGAGGAGCTCATTGGAGAGTAAGGCATACAGGTTAGGTTGTAGAAGAATGATGAGCAACAGTTTACATCAAGAGTAGGGATTAGATAAGTATATGGGAGGGAGGGGGTAAAGGAGGTTTTGTGGGTGAGGGGCTTGGACTTCCAGCAAGCATGCGTGAGCGTGTTAGATAGAAGTGAATGGAGACAAATGGTATTTGGGACCTGACGAGCTGTTGGAGTGTGAGCAGGGTAATATTTAGTGAAGGGATTCAGGGAAACTGGTTATTTTTATATAGCTGGACTTGAGTACTGGAACTGAGAAGTACAATGCCTGCACTTTAAAGGAGAGGTTTGGGATATTGACAGTTTGGAGGGATATGTTGTGTATCTTTATATGTATATGCTTCTAAACTGTTGTGTTCTAGGCACCTCTGCAAAAAGCAGTGATTATGTATGAGTGAGGTGAAAGTGTTGAATGATGATGAAAGTATTTTCTTTTTGGGGATTTTCTTTCTTCTTGGGTCACCCTGCCTCAGTGGGAGATGGCCAACTTGTTAAAAAAAAAAAAAAAAAACTTGGGGCTACAAATAAATTTAACACTTTTGTCCTGCAAGATGATGAGTCTGTTGTAAAGAGGTTGACAGAATTGCTGTGTATTAATAATAATGTGTAATTGTGATACAAGATAGAGAAATTGGAAAGATTGGTGTAGGATTTTCGATGTATGCTTGTGTATGTGTAAAAGTGTTTAAAATGAATGAAGTCAGAGGTCGGGGAATAGATAGAAGACAGAATGGAAGAAATGTGAAGGAGGTAAACTTAATCAGTTATTTGAGAGTAGATGTTACAGTAGGCAGGTCACTAAAGGATGACATATAATGCAATAGAGGAATGAAAGGAAGCTGCATAAGTACCGACATATTTTTGGAAAGAAATAAGTATATAATGGATGTAATAATGAGAATTTGCCAGAGTATAGTTATGCTGACACTGGTATAATTGTCAAGTATTGTCTTTTAAAAGGTGTGTTGGTATAAAAAGTGTAATTCAGAGAGTGAGAAATGGTTTCTTTCCATTGATGTAATGTATTAAACATCCAGCAGATATAAGTGAGCATTTTAGATCTGACTGGGTTTTGATATTGAATATACTACTTTGATGTGATCAAGTAATATTCAGAAGAGGATTCGGGAAAACCAGCTAATTGTATTTTAGTTTGGAGGTAAGGGAAGTATAGTGCCTGCACTTAAAAAATTGGTTGTTCATGTTTTAGTTCCAGGGGTCATCATCCAATTTGTGTCCTTGGAAAAACAGTTGCAGAGTAAGTGATAATGCATGTGTTGTTTTTGGATTAAGATGGGAAATTACCAACATGTTAGAAAAAAAAAAAAACTCATCACCAGCTCAAAATTGAAAAGGAATTTTTTATTTCTTGGCTGATTTGTGCCAAAACAAATTGAATCCCCCACACTTTTACCAAATGATCATACACAGTAAAATATTAATGCTTTTGATATAATAAATAAGTGAATATATAATTTTGCCTATCTTGCAAACTTTGTAATTCAAGTTCATTTACTGCATAAGTAAAACAAAAAATAAAGAGTTTTGGACAAGGAAAATCCATTAAGTATATTTAAAAAAGTATGTGGCTACTTTTCACTTTTGGGGTCACATGGAGTTTATGGTGTGTGGATAATTGGCCATTAGGACTTGGCTGGAGAATTGATTGTGTACAGTAACAAATTTTATTTTTTCATCTCTAGATTTTTGTTTTCTACTTCGAAAAAATGCTTATTCTGATGGACCTTGGTTATAAGGCTGTCAGCTTATTGTTGCTGCACATGTAATTAGCTATTTGTTCATGTGAGTGTGGGGGTGAGCTCTAGTACTTGGCCCTGCCTTGTAATTTACGACTGATGAAAAATCACCCTTTCACGTTGTTTTTAACCGCTTTTTTTTAGTCCTCTTTTACTGTCGTTAATTTCATTTATCTTCTCAATTGAGTTTCTACTCAGAAACATTTTGTGGCACTGCATGTTTATTATGATGAGGTGTACACTTCAGCAAATTATACTGGGATGTTACTTCACTTATTATTGGAAATAGTTTTTTCAGTTAGTACACTTTTATAGGATAATAATTTTTCTAAAATAATTAAAATAACCTCACTTATTACTACAAAGCACTGATGGAATCTATGCTCATTATCATCTCATGTTCTCTACACTTTAATATCTCCTCAATGATTTGCATTTCTGAAGTTATTTAAGTGTTATTTGTTGCAATAATTACACAAAATAATATAAAACAGTTTAAGATTGGTTATATGCAAAGTTGTTGATGAAAATTATGTATTGTGAGGAATATAATATTCTGTGAGATTTTGATTTAGAATTTGAGAGTTTTGATAGGAATTTACGTCTGAGCTACCTGTCTAATGTCATTTCTATCTGCACAGTAGCCTGATTCTCATCTATTAATGTAGTTTTTCTCGTACTCTTCCAAGGTATTCGAAAGTCTGTCAGGAACTCAGGAGGAAGTAATCTACTCAATAGTCGTTTGACGCGAGCGCACGGAGGTCTGTGTTGCTATTTCTTCTGTGTAGCTCTCATTTCCTCTAAGGTTTAATATTAATATTTTGCCCGTGACTCTTAGTGTGAGTGAGGGGTTTATGAGTTATTACACCAACCACACTTAGAGCAGCACGTACCTAACACTGTAGTCAATGTCTTGCTTCTTCTAGTCACAAGTAACCCACACTTAGGAGAGGAATTTTTAAACTATGTTGGTCCACCCTGGACCATTAACAGGTCATTATTGTGACTTGGAAAAGTTCAGGATGGAAACATTCTTTAAAGATTCCTGTCTGAACTGCGAGTTATTTGTGAATTGTTCAAGCCATGGTTTTGCGACTTTAATTCATCTTTGTTTCTCTTGTAATACTCTGCACTATTTACAAGAGAACAGTGTAAATGCACGTTCTACACTATAAGAACAGTTCTTACTTTCTTGCACACATTTTCAAATTTGAAGGCTGCAAATAAAAATAGGATAGTACAGTTTTCATTAAGAAATGTTTATCTACTGTTTGTGGGCTGTTTGCGAATTGTTTTAGTCATCTTATTTGTAATTCTGGCTAATAAAACACAAATTAGTAATTGGGGAGACTAGGGGAATGTTAAAATTAATGGAAAAAATATTGGAGTTCATATTCATTTTCTGTTATGGCTGAGTATCTGTTGCAAATGTTGGTGGATAAAGTTACTAAAGGAGTAGTTGGGCTACATAGTCTTCTGCAATAAGCATTAAACAGTGCCAAAACTGTATTCTCAAATAATCTCACATATAATTTATTTTGAATCATAGCTTGTGAAACTTGCAATATATCTGAGAATACACATATGTCATTGTTTAATGTAAGTGATAATACACATGCTTGTAACACGCACTGTATCCTATGCTGTACTTATGTCTTTATTCCTGGTGCATGAAAGATGCTGTAAGTTGCCTGGCTATTAGCTTGTACTAAACGTTATTGTTAGAAGTACAGCTATAGGCTTTTTTTAGGGACTGAATTGCGTATATCCAGTAAGCTCTCTTATGAAGCTCCACTGTGTAATGCATTATTTTGGCAAGTACAGTTGAAAATAGAAGGAAGGCAGGTAGAGGTCGTCCCCGGAAAGGTTGAAGGGAGGGGGGTAAAGGATGTTTTGTGGGTGGGGAGCTTGGACTTCCAGCAAGCTTGCGTGAGTGTGTTAGATGGGAGTGAATAGAGACGTATGGTTTTTGGGACCTGACGAGCTGTCAGAGTGTGGACGGGGTAATATTTTGTGAAAGGATTCAGGGAAACTGGTTAGCCGGACTTGATTCCTGGAAATGGAAAGTACAGTGCCTGCACTTTAAAGGAGGAGTTTAGGATATTGGCAGTTTGGAGGGATGTCTAATCTGTCGTATCTGAGCACCTCTGCAAAGACAGTGATTATGTATGAGTGATGGTGAAAGTGTTGAATGATGATGAAAGTTTTTTCTTTCTTTTTGGGTTTTTCTTTCTTTTTGAGTCACCCTGCCTCAGTGGGAAACGGCCAATGTGATTAAAAAAAAATTGAAAATGTCCATCCAAAATTGAATAGCACATGGAAAGGTCTTAGGAGAACTGGCTATTCAATCTTGGATTAACTTTTTCAGTTGTATTTGCCAAAAATTTGCAATATATAGAATAGCTCTAGAAGAGTTTACTATGCACCTGTACTTCTGTTTATTATGGTATGGTATTCAAATTTACATCATACACCATACTGCCAGCAGTTATTAACAAACTAGCCAAAAATTTTAACATGTTATTTTTTCTAGATATCCTTCAGAATCTTACTATAACTAGTCTTTTATATGGTTTTTGTTTAAATTCATAAAGATTATTGTTTGCTTTTGTTCTACAATAAAAATTAATGACTGTATAAACTAAAAATGCAGTATTCTTTCAAATTTCTCAAGTTATCTTGCACTACAGAATAAAGAGGACATTATGGACTTACTAATGAATACTTCACATATTATTTAAGAAATTGATTCCATGCACATGTTATATTTTGTTTACTTAGAAATTAAATTACCAGTAGCAGTGAGCTTGGATATCAACAGGTGTTTGTGAGCATGTTAGATAGGAGTGAGTGGAGGCAAGTGGTTTTTATTACTTGACACTGCAAAAACAGTGATTATGTGTGAGTGAAGTGAAAGTGTTGAATGATGATGAAAGTATTTTATTTTTGGGGATTTTCTTTCTTTTTGGGTCACCCTGCCTCGGTGGGAGACGGCCGACTTGTTAAAAAAAAAAAAAAATGCTGTTGGAGTATGAGCAGGGCAACATTTATGAAGGGATTCAAGGAAACTGATTAGTTGGAGGTGGGAAGTACAGTGCCTGCACTCTGAAGGAGGGATGAAGATATTACATTTTGGAGGGGCATCTGAGCTGTAATGTTGGTGCACCTCTGGCAAGACATTGATGGAGTGACTAATGGTGAAAATTTTTCTTCTATCTTTTTGGGTCACCCTACCTCAGTGGGTGACAAGCAGTGTGTTATAAAAGTAAAATTGATTTGATAATGTCTTTCTCCTTACGTAGTAATTCCTACAAGTATCATGTTCAGAAACAAGGAGGCTAGAAAAGAGTACAGTATACACTTTACCAAACAGGCAAATTTTGCAATTGTGAAGAAACTTTTTAACATACCATTGTCTGGAAAATAATTTAATGGTATATTTTCATTATCATATAGGAACTTTCAAGAGTGGATACATTGTATTTTTTAATATCATTTGTTGAGAAATGGCATTACCAGCTAAGTTTAAAGAGTTTGTACTTAACTTAGAAAGACAGCTCATCGCCTGCACAGCCGCCCCTGCAGACGAGGTTTTGAGAAGCTGTCGAAGTCATCTCTCAACGGGCTGTAATGATTTATAATTTGTAAGATTATAAATTACCCCTAGGGGTGTTATGTCAGCATATTTCATTCACTGATGGCTGACAAACTTACTTGTGTGGACTCAAATGTCCGCACCTAACTGCCGACTATAGGTTGATTACAAACTCCTTGCGACTCAAGAACTGCGCAGTCCCCCGTACTACAAGAAATTCGTAACCTACCTTGCTCTTGTAGTATGAGCTATGGTGTTCTTCACACCTTCGACAGATATCGGTGACTTGATAGAAGCTGAAGTGTCCTTGGATGTCCACGTCTTCCATAGTCTAGGAATACGCACACTGGTACACTGTTCCACAAGATTTGTCTTTATTGTTCACAATCTTATCACTAAAGAAGCTGATCACACTTCTCTTAAGTGTTTATTGTGTTTTATGAGACACTTTGTTCACACTAACGCACAGATCGTTCTTTGTTGGTTATCCTGGCGTCAGTGTCATTCTCAGTAGAGTAAAAAGTAATCTGAAGACGCCACAGCGCCCCACGCCGTTCTTCCCCAGCACAAAGGAAAAGCTGACCTAGTACTTTTGCTTCCTTGCCACTTCCTCGATGAAGCAAAGCAGAATGTTTGATTCTTGCTGTCTTAAGCATAGACAACAATGTCCACTATCTTTACTATGGTAATAAAGTGGGAGCAGGATTTTCCTTAATTGTCCTGCTAAAGTAAGAGATGTACTGTCTCTTATTAAAATACACTCTGCAACACAGGACCACACGGAGCGTCGAGCCACGTCACATACTGGTACTGCATCTGGGGTCAATTACTCGCTGTAGCAGTAAACAAGATATTTGCCCCTTCTGAGAGGGCTGGGCCCCTCAGGGCTGAAAGGGGCTGATACCCCCCTCCTGGAGAAATTTTCTCCACATCATTCAGTATTATAGATGAAAGAGTAAATCCTAAATGCTGTTGTGAATGTTTCAACTTTGTGTAAGTATTGAACACATTTCAGGGCATAAGAATTTTTCATGATTTCATGGGTGTGATTACCTATTTGTAGTTGAAGAAATAGTTAGGATCACATTGTCTTGTATTTTCAGCTTGTCATAGGTTTTTTTTTCTAGTGGTTGTAGCTCTAATTTTCTACTGTTAAATCAAACAACTGTTCCACCATTATTTAGGAAGAAAAATTTTCTGGTGTCTTTTTGGTTGTTTTTCTCATTTTACGATTGTGTCCTCTTGTTCACCTGGTTTATATGGTACTATACTTTAACCCTTAAACGGTCCAAACAAATCCACGTTCAGATTCGTAGTGCTACAAAAGTAGATCTACTTTTTTATACATATTTTCAAATATAACAAAAAAAAATGTGGATAAAAGTTTTTTTTTACACATTTTCAGATGTAAAACAAAAAAGATCTACATTTTTTTACATACTTTCAGATGTTGAAAAAACGTATATATACGTTTGGACCGTTTAAAGGTTAAATTGTACTAATTAGTCATTTTTGTCTGTTCTCTTACATATTTTTGTGGTCTTGTACAGTGTTATCAAGTCTCCTTTTCTATCAGTCTTTCTTCAAAACTTTTTTTTTTTTAGCACTGGAAGCAATTTTGGAGCATGTTTCTGAACATTTTTTTTTCTCTTATCCACATTTGTTTTAGATGTATATGCCATGCTAATATTGCATATTCAAAACAGGTTTATTTGGCATGTCTCTATCCATATTTCTAAATGCTATTTTGCAATTTACCAGTGTAACATGCTTAATTAGTTGTTTTTTTTATTAACATGTTGGCTGTTTTCCACCAAGGCAGGGTGATCTGGAAAATAAGAAACACTCATTATCATTCACTCCATCACTACAGTTATAAAACTACAACATTAACACACCTCCTTCAGAGTGCAGGCACTATACTTCCCACCTCCAGGACTCAAGTCCAGCCTGCCAGTTTCCTTGAATCCCCTAATAAATATTACCTTGCTCACACTCCAACAGCACGTCAAGTCATAAAATCTTTTATCTCCAGTCGCTCCTATCTAACATACTTAAATGAAGAATAATTTCAAAAACTCTAGAGGTAATGTTAATTGTGTTGTCTGCTCATTCCTGGCAAGACAGCAGTGAATGGTGATGAATGTGTTCAATTTTTTTAAAGGCTCCATCTTGGTGGGAGATAGCTGATGTATTTAAAAATGTGATGAATAGACATTTAATTTGCTTTCTAATTCAGGGAGTAGTGACTCTCGACAATATCCAGTTGTTGTACTGAGGCAAAGTGAGGCCTATCAAATTTCTCTAGTATATTGAGATCAGTTGAATATTTGTCCATCTCCTGTGTAGTCAGTATGGCAGCTAGTATTACTTCCACATGTATAAATGCAACTCCTTTCATGTAAAGTACTCTATATCTGATTTCTGGCATTATTTTCTATTAGTATCAAAACAGGGCATCTTTCCTAAGTCAAATATGTTTGTGTACAACACATGGATATAAGTCAGCAATAATGTTCTTATTGTTATAAGTTTTGTATCAAGACTCCAGTTGATATTAGGATCTGCACTCACTAAATTGTTTTCCAGGCCATGCAAACTTACCCATATAAATTCCCTTCTGAGTTGTGAGTCCTCTTGCTCATCTGTTATAATTTCACTGGCACTAGCCTCATGCATTTCAATTTATTTTCCATTTGTCACCTCTTGGTATGAGTCCAACACTTATTCAGCTGCTTCTTCCTGCACATGAGAAGATTCATTACCCCTCACTTACACCACCTGCTGTAATAAGACATGCTCAACTAGCATGGTTCTGCCTGATGGTCTGATTCATAGATTAATTAATGACATGTTAGTGCTCCTGTCTAATCAAGCTTGCAGTGCGGCCAAAATCATCACCTTGGTTAATCATCATCTCACACTTTTCAGTGCTGTTTCTCTCCTTAGATGACATGCTGAATGACACTGTTGAAGGGTGGCAGAACTAAAGTGTGCTGCCCAAAATTTTGGAGAAAAGACAATTTGCAGAACAAACTTTTATTAGGACAGTGTTTTAATAAAAATCTTTGAAGGTTGAAATGTTGTCCCAATGAAAGCTTGTTCTGAAGTGTGTCTTTTCATCAATAAAGGATGGTAGTGAGGTATAGTAAAGAAAAACAGAGTAAACAAGTCATGTGTGAAGATGGTGTCCAGGTCACATTAAGCTAGCGTGGTGAGGAACATATTTGTTTGCTGGTACATTTAAAATTTATATGCAGATGAAAGCCTCATACAGTATTGACAAAATAGGTAGACACCGTGAATACAAAACCCTAAATATCAACACATTTAATCATTAATGTATAGGGAATGAAATATGCTGTGCTGTATTATTGTACCCACAGAACAAGTGGTATTGATCAAAAAAACACTGCACTAGCCAAGGAGTTGAACCCATGCTGTTTTGGCCCTCGTCATGTGTTCTCTCTCACCATGAGGTGGGCCAAAATAGCATGGGTTCAACTCCTTGGCTAGTGCAGTGTTGTTATTGATGCTGTACTGTGTTTTATTTCTTCTAAACTTGCCTTCTTCATTTATTATGCACTTTAATGGGGAAAGGGTCAGTTCAAGATACTGGCAACTCAGGGCACCATGCGGTAAGGGGTGCTGGATCATATATTTGGAATTTTTCCATATACAATAAGGAGGGAAAAATGGGAAAGTAAATTATTCAGTATTTTGTTTTTACATGAAATGTACACAATATACCAGTTTGTGAGCATTCTTTAACATTGAGTTTCACTACAGTGTGTTTAGCAATATATAAATGTAAGATATGAAATTTTGCATGCTGTCCATATATTGCCCATAAAACAATGTCTTATTATTCAGTGTTTTTAACAAAGTGGGGTGAAATTACCAGTAATATAGATGTTCTCTCTTGGTTATATTAATGAATTTTAAACTGATGCTGTGCTTCAAATATTTTAATTTATCTGCATATCATAATAAACTATTTCTACACTTGTAGTTTTTCCTCATGGTAACATTTTTTAACTGTACTTGTGAGAGCACCATAGTTCAGCTTTCCTGGTGTACCAGCAATCCTGCGACCTTCTCTGCACTTCGAAGTCATGGTGCAAGGTAGTAATATCCAATATTATGGATGGTCAATGAGGTGAGGAGGAGAGGAACGTGTCAGTATTATGTATTTTTTATTTTGTACTATAGTAGTACATCGTCACATATATCTGGAGTGGGCTTCACAAGGGGGTAGTACATATCATAACCATTGGAAACTTGAATACAATAATATTGATAATGAATATATTAAAAAAGACACAGCTCTACTCTTCTAATATAGATAATCTCTGACAGATACAAACACACACAAATGTACGGTAAATTATAATTAATTTAGAGGTAAATTAATAATATTAATGATATGCAGAATAGCCAACGTGAAAAAATAGTGAAATTCCAAAGGCTTTTGTGATTTCTCACATTATCATGAAAATGCTTGGAATGTCTATTTTTTCACAGTGGCTATTTTTGCATATTGTGATATCACCTGCTTACTGTCACCTTATTGCATATTAATGATATATAAAATAGAGTTTTAACATTATTGTTTTAGTTTGTTACTATTATTACTTTCATTGAAACACACAAGTATATGTCTTTGCAGTATTTAAAATAAATGCTTACCCTTGCAGGAGAGGAGGTAACAGTCATGGAAGAAGACTTACGTTTGTGCACTGTTAAGCCCGCCATTGAGGTAGACCGCAGATTCTGCTTTGAAGTTGTCTCCCCTATGAAGTAAGTATTAAAAGTGTAGTAACAGGTTTTGTTTATAAGATGGGTGTGTATATGTGTAGCTGTGGTTACCTGTTTGTAATAAAAGGTATAGAGCTAGTGCTTGATATGCAGCCACTCCATCTGAATCTACAATTAATCGATAGTACAGGAGGGCCCCATTCATATGACTAGGCTCAATACAGCTAGGTATAAAAAAATTATAAAAAATAAATAAATACAGCCTCTCCTCACTTAATGACAGGGTTACGTTCTTGAGATCACATCGTTAACCCTTTCAGGGTCCGTCCCGTAGATCTATGGCTTCACGTTGAGTGTCCAAACCGTAGATCTACGCCAAAATTCTAGCGCCGTCAAATTTAGCGCGAAAGTGCTCATAGGCCTACATGTGAGAGAACGGGTCTGTGTGGTGGGTGTGCGCCATAAACAAAAAATCTAGGCGCCTGCATAGCATTGTGGGAACGCCGGCTCAGTTACCCTTGTTCACCATGCCTCATCGCAAGTCAGCTCTCACTCCCTGGAAAATTGGGACTCTCCTCTTCCTATCTGATAGTTCTGACACTGATGGAAGTGGAAATGAAGACAAATTCTACGGCTTTGATCAGTTAGTGACCGAAAGGAATGACCAGGATATCGATAATAGTGCAGAAAACCCTGACGATCCTCAACCTTCTACCTCTGGTGTGGGCACTCGTGACTCACGGTCGGTTGTGCCTCAGCGCAAGAGAAAACTAATATTTTCGCGTGGCCAGGCCTCTGACTTTAGTAATGATGATGATAGTGACGTGGATTGTGATTTTATTGCGCTCGACAATCATTTGAGTAGTGATAGTGAGGAATCATATTCACCAGTGAAGCGTCGGTATGTTCGCCACCGCATGTGCTCCGGTAGTGTACCCTATGCTATGCCCAGGGGACGGAGTACATCCCGGAGTACATCCCAGAGTACATCCCGGAGTACATCCCAGAGTACATCCCGGAGTACATCCCATGGCCCTACACCAGTTTTAGGTAGTGATAGTGAGGATGATGTGGCTACACTTGGCATGGATAGACCACAGGCATCAGTGGATGGTGGTAGTGGTGATGGTAGTGGCACCGCCATGCGTGACTCACCAGCCCAGGCTGGGACCCATGCTGCTGACTCGTCAGTTCAAGGACAAAGCGGAGCGTCAGCCACCAGCCCAGCACAACCAAACCACCCGCACAACCAGCCTATGATGTCCAGTATCCACCAGCAAACCATATGTGGGATTGGCAGCAAAATTCCAATTTTGTTCCCAAGCCTCACCACTTTGATGACTCTCAAAGTGGAATTCTACCTACTTGTCCCCTTGGATCCACAGCCAATGAACTGGAATTCTTTGAATTATTCTTTGACTAGCCATTGATGGAAACTATTGTCAGGGAAAGTAATAAGTATTTTGAGTACACCATGGCAAATACGATCATATCACCACAGTCAAGACTACACAGGTGGAAAGAGACAACTGTTGCAGAAATGTATTTGCTTTTTGCAACAATAATGCTTGTGCCTCATGTCTATAAGCATAATATAAAAGCATACTGGTCCACAGATCGGCTAATTTCTACCCCGGTCTTCAGTGAAATCATCCCAGTGAAACAGGTTTATCTTACTCTTACGTATGTTGCACTTCTCTGACAAAACGAGGCCTGACAGAAGTGACAGGTTATATAAGATTAGAAATGTTTTCATGTATCTCAAACAAAAGTTCAGCATATACTTTTATCCATTCAAGAATGTTGTAATTGACGAGTCTTTGATTTTGTTCAAGGTAGACTGTCATTCAAGCAGTATATACGAGCAAGAGGAAACGCTTTGGTATAAAACTGTTTGTACTCTGTGACTGTGACAGTGGCCTGGTGTTGGATATTGTTGTATACACGGGAAGTAAAACATTGAAAGATACCAAGATGTTATTGGGTATCTCAGGTGATGTAGTGAGAAACATGATGGCACCTTATCTTGGTAAGGGGCATACATTATATACCGATAACTGGTACACAAGCCCATTTACTCAGTGATTTCATGCGAGTGAACAAGACAGATGTGTGTGGCACAGTGCGTTCTAATCGTAAACATATGCCCAGGCTCAACGCAGTGCTCGTGGTGATGACGTGCAGGTGTTTTACTGCCAATGACATCATGGCATTACGGTGGCATGACAAACGAGATGTCACATTGTTGACAACCATTCACCGTAATGAAATGCAAGACAGTGGCAAAGTGATCGAGTGACTAATGAACGTATTCGAAAACCAGTGACAGTGATTGATTATACACAAAACATGCGCTTGGTTGACAATGTGACATGCAGATTGGTTTTGTTGACTGTGTTCGTAAGAGTTACGAGTGGTACATGAAACTTTTCTTCCATCTCATGGACATTTCAATGCTCAATGCATATAATATGTACCAAATAAAGACTGGCAAACAGACCACTGTATGGTGAATTTTGTTTGTCTGTTGTCAGACAACTCATAATGAAGTACCAGGTAAGAACACCTGCTATACAACAAGGTCCTCGAATTACTCAGGATATACCCAAGCGTTTGAGGAGGGAAGGTGATCATTTCATATACAGCTTCCTTCAACTCAGAAGAAATTTGCTCAGAAGAGATGCATCGTCTGTGCACAAACAAAACGACGGCAACAAAGACGCAAAGACACTAGGTTTATGTGTGAGGAATGTAAGGTGCCTCTGTGCATGGTGCCTTGTTTCAAGGAGTTCCACAAGCTCCAGCAGTTCTAAAACCATGTCCAGTGATTGTAAATATGTAAATATATGATAGAACATTAGTATTATACAAGATTTGTGCATGTTTATTGTAATAAACAACAGTGGTAAACAATAATATGATAATAACTTTAGTGCGGTTATTGTGTTCAATACAGTGAGTTTATATATATATACATTATATACAGTATTGGTCTCTCAGGTCCCAAATGTTAGTAGGAAAAGAAAAAAATTGGAAAAGGAAAGAAAAAACTATAAAAACCGCTAAATAATGTAATGCGCGTATGTGGAATTCGTCGATGTTGCCGCCACCACATCATTTTAGCACTGTATCTCGGTAAGTACTGATCAGAAATTTTTTTTTGTCTTATTACCTTCACAAAAATATGCTCTTTAATTCTGTAAGAAAAAATAATTTTTTTTTTTTTTTTTTTTTTTTTTTTTCAAAATTTCTTGGACACTGGAGCATCACTTCAGATTTTGGCCTTGGACCCTGAAGGGGTTAAACGAATTCATCGCTAAGTGAGGCACTTACTATAATGGTAGTGAGTTTGTGTCAGTCATCTTTGATATTGTTTTAATGTCACCTTTGCACCATTTATAACATTTCTGATACATTTTTAAATGTTTATACAGTAGTGTACTGTATATTGAAATATACAAAATAGAGGAAATGAGCTCTAATGTACATTATTTAGGTATGATTACTGGTTAGAGAGCCCGTCGTAAGTCCGAGGCATCGGTAAACAAGTACGTCACTAAGTGAGGAGAGGCTCTATACAGTACATACAATACAACCTCTCCTTATATACTGATGGAGTTCCATTCTTAAGGCTACGTCAGTAAATGAATTCGACGCTAATCGAGGAACCCCCCGTTACTAATGCTTCAAAAATGTCACCACCTGAAATTAAAACATCAGTTTTATGTTTGCTGTGAAAATCCTTTCAATCCGTTCATTATTAATGGTAATACAACATGAAATAGGTCAATAACCTACTTCCGAGATATTCCAGGAAATGTGCGCACAGCTGATTACTTGGGAAATTTTTTCTTGAGAAAATCGCACTTTTTTCAATCTGCATAGGATAAGAGTGATCTTCTGTGGTTACCCTTCAGGTGCAGAGCATTTTCTGTAATGGTCACGGTAACTTTTTTTTTTTTATCCTTCCCCGCCCTCTGTCGCCCACCCTTCAATACATTTCCATATAATGTCAGTTTTTATTAATTTGGGTGTCTTTATCATGCTTCTACATTACATGTATTTATGTTATACCTAATATTATTCTGGAATAAATATGATAGGTAGATAACCTTAATTGATAGTAATAGTATAATTATACAATATTTTATAGCGCTGTGAGACACACAACTCTCTGTCATGGTGAATCATCAGCTGCTGAAACACTTTTGGCTTCTCCCTGTGCTACAGGTAGCTCTGCCCACTTCATAACAATACAGATGGTAAATTAATATGTATATTAGAAAGAGATAAATAAATAAAAAGGTAACTCCAACTTGATAACTTTGTTTTAATTTGCATAACTCTTGCAATATCTTGGGATATTGGCAGTTTGGAGGGATATGTTGTGTATCTTTATATGTGTATGCTTCTAGACTGTTGTATTCTGAGCACCTCTGCAAAAACAGTGATAATTGCGAGTGTGGTGAAAGTGTTGAATGATGATGAAAGTATTTTCTTTTTGGGGATTTTCTTTCTTTTTTGGGTCACCCTGCCTCGGTGGGAGACGGCCGACTTGTTGAAAAAAAAAAAAAAAAAAAAAAAAACTCTTGCATATTACAGAAAACAATAAAAAAATAAGATACATATTCAGTACATTCATTACTTACCTTAAAATATTTGTAGTCTTAATGTAGGGTGAGAGGTGAGTATTTATTGTAGACAGAGAAAGATGAAGAAAAAGGAATGGAAGAAGTACAAAAGAAGAACACTGTAAAGGGGTTAGCTGGTGTGTTCGTCTGTGTGTTTACATTCTCTGCATCTCTCATGGCATCTTAAGAAATGATTAAACTCAGTGACGAAGGTATGTTGATGGTAATAATAATAATAATTATAATGGTAATCGCTCTGGAGTGCTTTAAATGTCATATGTATTTCGTATAGGTTTGGTAGCTGACGTTTAACCCTTTCAGGGGTCCAGACCCCCGATCTGAAACTTAGACACAGGGTCCAAGAATTTAAGAAAAAAAAATTTTGTTATTTTTTCTTATGAAATGGTAGAGAATCTTTTTCTGAAGGTAATACAGCAAAAAGTATGAAATTTGATGGCAATTAATGAAATTACGCTCTCAGGAATTTTGCTGCATCATTGATATTTATGCATCAGTGATTTTGCCCACTTTGACTCCCATTTTAGGCCAATTACATTATTCCAGTCGACCAGATTCTTAGCTATTTTGCTAGTAGTACTTCTGTTTTATCGATTGAGCACAAGAAATTGCCCAGTCAACTGTTTCAACTACCCACTAAAGTAATCAGTACTAAAACCAATCAAAATCATCTTTATTTCTGTAATATATCTTCCATTCAAATGAGACTAAGGAACTGCAAATACAACTGTAAAAAACATATGAAAAAACATTGCAAAGTAGTTGTTTTAATCCAGAAATATGGTCGCATTTTTTTCTCATTATGCACTGCGTGCCGCAGGATTGTTTTATGCGGTGCATACTTAGCACATAGATGTATTCTCTCATATCTAGGCCCAGATTTACTGCTCTCAGGTAAGTCATTAAGTGAGTAGTACCTGTATTTCTATACTATTTTCACATAGTTATTTACTTTTTCAGATGTCATATGCTTCAAGCTGAAAGTGAAGAGAGTTATGATTCATGGATAACCGCTCTTCAGCGTGGTATTGGGCAAGCCCTTCAAAGCTCACATAACTCTATCCAAGATAACAGACAAGAAACTCCTGGCTCCTCTCCTCATCCACAGAAAGGGTCCCTGACTCCTGCCACACCAGTTGACTCCTCCAACTCTTCCTCTCCTGCAACCACACCCCAGGCACCTACTGCACACAAAGCTCAGTAAGATTTATACTCGCATTATTATTTGTGTAGCTGAATTGTATTCAGTACTACATTAACACAATCCTTTTTGAATCTTCCTTTCCTTTGCAGTTTAATAATAAAATCTCTGTCAGTTGTTAGTTCTGATGTAATCTGATTTTTTTTTTTTTTTTTTTTTTTTTTTTCAGATTGTGGCAGGAAATAATGAGCATTCCTGGAAATGATCACTGCTGTGACTGCAATTGCAGCAATCCTCGATGGGCCTCTATAAATCTAGGAATTAGTCTGTGTATTGGTAAGTTGTCAGAGCATAAGTGGTGTGTTTGTATTGATTTTTCTGACCTGTATATAAAGATGCAATAAAGTGTATTAGATATTTAAGATATTAAATATTGGAATTTACAGAATGTTCGGGTATTCACCGTAGTCTTGGTGTGCACTATTCCAAAGTACGATCCTTGACATTAGATGCTTGGGAACCTGAAGTTTTGAAGGTAATGGCAGAGTTGGGAAACACGGTTATCAACAGCATCTATCTTGCTACTTATGTACCAGGTGAAGGCACTGGTCCCCCTGAAGCAAAACCTGATAGCCAGAGGTAATATTTTTTATTTTGTGCTTATTAAAATCAACATTCTGTTCACAAAAGTTAGAATCTGATATTATTTGTTATTGGGAAAAAACGGCAATTTGATTTCATGTGATACTAGGTGAAGCCACGTAATTTGAGTAAATGATCGTTTGTCATGGAAAAAAAAAAAAAAAAAAAAAAAAAAAAAGGGGGGGGAAAGGGGTTTTCGGGGTTTTTTCCCCCAAAAATTTAAAAAAAAACCCCTTAAAATTTTTTTTTAAAATTTTTTGGGGGTTTTAAAAAAAAAAATTTTTTTTTTTGGGGGGGGTTTTTTTTTTTTTAAAAGCCCCTTTTTTTTAAAAAAAAATTTTGTAAAAAAATTTTTTTTTTTTGGGGGGGGCCCCCATTTTCCCCGGAAAAAAATTTGGGGGGAAAATTTTTTTTTTAAAAAACCAAATTTTTAAAAAATTTTCCCCGGCCCCTTTTTTTTTTTTAAAGTTTTTTTTTTTTTCCCCCTTTTTTTTTTTTAAAAAAAAATTTTTTTTAAAAAAAATTAATCCCCCCCCCTTTTTTCTTAAAAAACCCCCCCCCCCCCCAAAAAAAACAAAAAAAACAAAAAAAAATTTAAAATTTTTTAAAAAAGGGGGGAAAATTTTTTTTTTTTTCCCCCCCCCTTTTTTTTTCCCCCAAATTTACCCGGGGGCCCCCCCCCCCCCTTTTTTAAAAAATTTTTTAAAAAGGTTTTTTTTTTTAAAAATTATTTTTTTAACCAAAATAGTTCCCCCAAAAAAAAGGGGGGAAAAAAAATTTAAGGGGTAGGGGGGCCCCAAAAAAAAAAAAAAAAAAAAACCCCCCCCCCCGGGGACAATTTCCCCCCCCCCCCCAAAAACCCCCAAAGGGCCCTTTTTCCCCCCGGGGGGGCCCCTTTTAAAAAAGGGAAAAACCCTTTTTTTTTAAAAAAAAAAATTTTTTTGTACCTAAAAAAACCCCTTTTTTTTTTTTTTTAAATTTTAAAAATTAAATTTTTTTTTTTTTAAAACCCCCTTTTTTTTTTTTTTTTTTTTAAAATTTGGGGGGGGGAAAAAATTTTTTTTGTTTTAAAGGGAAAAAAAAAGGGGAAAAAAAGGAATTTTTTAAAAAAAAGGGAAAAATTTTTTTTGGGGGTTTTTTTTTTTAAAAAAAAATTTTTTAAAAAGGGGGAAAAAAAATTTAAAATTTTTTGGGGGTTTTCCCAAAATTTGGGGGAAAACCCAAAGGGGGGTTTTAATGCGGGTTTTTAAGGGAAATAAGGGAATTGGGCCCAAAAAACCCCAAAATTTGGGAAAACCCAAAAAAAAAACCCCCAAAAAAAAGGGGGGGGTTTTTAAATTTTTTTTTTAAAATTTTTTTTTTAAAAAAAAAAATTTTTTAAAAAAATTTTTTAAATTTGGAAAAAAAATTTTTTTTTCCCCTTTTTTTTATTTTTAAAAAAAAAATTTTTTTTTTAAAAAAAATTTTTCAAAAATTTTTTGGTGTTTTTTTTTTTCCCCCTTTTTTTTTAAAAAAATTTTTTAAAGGGAAAATTTTAAAAAGGTCCCCCTTTTTTTAAAAAAAATTTTTTTTTTTGGGGAAAAAATTTTTTTTTTTTTTTTAAAACCCCAAAAATTTTCCCCAAAAACCCCCCCAAAAAAAAAAACCCCAAAAAAAAAAACCCCCCTTTAAAATTTTTGGGGGGGTTTTTTCCTTTTTTAAAAAAATTTAAAATTTAAAAAAAAAAAAAATTTAAAAAAAACCCAAAATTTTAAATTTTTGGGGAATTTTAAAAAAACCCAAAAAACCCAAAAAAAAAAACCCCCCCTTAATTTTTTAAAAAGGGTTTTTTAAAAAAAAACAGGGGTTTTTTCCCCCAAAAAAAAAAAAAAAACCCCCCGGGAAAAAAAACCCAAAAAAAAACCCCAAAAAACCCCCAAATTTTTTTTTTTTTTTTCCCCGGGTTTTTTTAAAAACCCCTTTTTTTTACCCTTTTTTAAAAAAAATTTTTTTTTTTTTCCCCTTTTTTTTTTTTCCCAAAATTTTTTTTTTTTTTTAAAATTTTTTTAATTTTTTCCCCCTTTTAAAGGCCCCCCGGGGCCCTTTTCCCCCTTTGGGTTTTTAAAAGGGAAAAATTTTTTTTTTTTTTTTTTTTTAAATTTCCCTTTTTTTAAAAAAAATTTTTTTTAAATTTTTAAAAAACCCCCAAATTTTTTTCCCCCAAAAAAAAAAGGGTTAAAATTTTTTTTTTTAAAAAACCCCGGAAATTAAACAAAACCCCCAAAATTTTTTAAAAATTTTATAAAATTTTTTAAAAAAAAAAAAACCCCCCCCCTTTTTTTTTCCCTTTCAAAAACCCCCCCAACCCCAAACCCCCCCCTTAAAATTTAAAATTTTTTTTTTAAAAAAATTTTTTTTTTGGGGAAAATTTTTTTAAAAATTTTTTAAACCCCAAAATTTTTCCCCCCTTTTCCAAAATTTTTCCCCCCGGGAAATTTAAATTTTTTTTTAAAAAAAGGGGGTTTTTTAAAAACCCCAAAAAATTTTTGGGGCCCCCCCCCAAAACCCCAAGGGGGGCCCCCTTTTTTTTTTTCCCCCCCCCCCCCAAAAAAAAATTTTTTTTTTTTAAAAAAGGGGGTTTTTTTAAAAAAATTTTTTTTAAAAAAAATTTTAAAAAATTTTTAAAAATTTTTTTGGTAAAAAATTTTAAAAATTTTTCCCCCAAAAACCCCTTTTTTTAAAAAAACCGGGAAAAAAATTTTTTTTTTCCCCGGTCCCTTTCCCAAATTTTTCCCAAAATTTTTTAAATTTTTAAAAAAATTTTTTTTTTTTAATTTTTTTTTTTCCCCCCTTAAACCTTTTTTTTTTTTTTTAAAAAATTTTTTTTTTTCCCCCCCTTTTTTTAACAAAAAACCCCAGTTTTTTTTTTTTTTTTAAATTAAAACCCCTTTTCCCCTTTTTTTTTTCTTTTTTAAAATTTTTTTCCCCCCCTTTGAAAAAAAAAAAAAAAAAATTTTTGTTTTTTAAAAAAAAAAAAATTCCCTTTTTTTTTAAATTCCCCCCAAAAAATTTTTTTAAAAAATTTTTAATTTTTTAAAAAAAAAAAAAAAATTTTTTTAAAAAAAAATTTTGGGGGGCCCCCCCCCTTTTTTTTTTGCAACTCTCCCCCTTTTTTTTTTCCCCAAAGGGGTTTTTAATAAAATTTTTTAAAAAATTTTGGGTTTTTTTTTTTTTTTAAAAATTTTTTTTTTTTTTCCCCCCCCCCCCTTTAAAAAAACCCCCCAAAAAAAAAAAAAAAAATTTTTTATTTTTTTTTAAAAAAAACTTTTTTTCCCCCCCCTTTTTTTTACCCCCGAAACCCCCCCCCTTTTTTTCCTTTTTTTTTTGGGGTTTTCCCCCTTTCCCTTTTTTCCCCTTTACTTAATTAGAAAAAAAAAAATTTTTGTTAATTTTTTTAAAAAGGGAAAAAAGGGGAAATTTTTAATTTTTCCCCAAAAATAATAAAAAAAAAAAATTTTTATTTTTTTTTTTTTTTTAAATTTTTAAAAAAAAAATTTTTTTTAAAAAAAACCAAAAAAAAAATTTTTTTTTCCCCAAAAAAATTTCCCCCCCAAATTTCCCCCCCCAAAATTTTTTACCCAGGGGGGGAAAAAAAAATTTTCCCAAAAAAGGAAAAACCCCCCCAAAAAAAAAACCCCCCTTTTTTTTTTTTTTTTTTAAAATTTTAAACCAATTTTAAAAAATTTTTTTTTCCCCAAAACCCCTTTAAAAAAAAACCCCCCTAAAACCCCCTTTTTCCAAATTTTTTTTTTCCCCTTTTCCCTTTTTTCCCCAAAACCCCCTTTTCCCCCAAACCCCCCCCCCCCCCCTTTTTGCCCCCCCCCCCCCCCTTTTTTTAAAAAATTTTTTTTTTTTTTCCCGTTTAACCCCCCACTTTAAAAATTTTTTTTTTTTTTTTCCTTTAAAAAAAAAACCCCCATTTTTTTTAAGGGATTTTTTTTTTTTTTTTTTTTTTTTTTTTTTTTTTTTAATTTTGGGGGGAAAAAAACCCCCAAAAAAAAATTTAAAAAATAAGGGGGAAAAAAAAAAAAATTTTTTTGTTTTTTTTTTTTTAAAGAAAGGGGAAAAATTTTTTTGGGCTATTTTTAAAAAAAAAAAAGGTTTAAAATTTAAAAAAAAAAAAAAAAAGGGGGTTTTTTTTTGGGGGGGCCCCTTTTTAAAAAAAAAATTTTTTTCCCCTTTTTTTTTTTGGGCCCCAAAAAAAAAATTTTTTAAAAATTTTTTTTGGGGGCCCCCGAAAAAAAAAAATTTAATTTTTTTTTTTTATTTTAAAAAAACCCCCAAAATTTTTTCCAAAATTTTTTTTGGGAAAAAGGAATTTTTTTTTAAATTTAAAAAAAAATTTAAAAGGGGAAGAAAAAGTTTTTAAAAAGGGGGGGTTGGGTTTTCTTTTTTTTTTTTTTTTTTAAAAAGGGGGTTTAAAAGGGTTGGGCCTTTTTGAAAAAAAAAAAAGGGGGGAAAAAAATTTTAAAAATTAAAAAAAAATTTAAAAAAAAAAAAAAAAATTTTTTTTTTTAAAAATTAAAAAAAAAAAAAAAAGGGGGTTGGGGGAAAAGGGGGGGAAAGGGAAAGGGAAGGGTTAAAGATTTTTCCGGGGGAAAAAAAGGGGGGGGGGGGAAAAAAAAAAAGGGGGGGGGGTTTTTTTTTTGGGGGGGGGCCCGGGGGAAAAGGGGTTTTTTTGGGGGTTTGGGAAAAATTTTTTAAAAATTTGGCCCTTTGGGGAAAAAAAAAAAAGGGGGGGAAAAACCCCCCCCCCTTTTTTGGGGGGGGGGGGAAAAGGGGGGGTTTAATTTGCAGTTTAAAAACTGTGGGAAAACCCCTTCTGGAAGGGCATTTATGGGGAAAAATTTTTGAAAATTTTTTTTTTTTCCCCCCCCCGGGGGGGGGGGGGAAAAAAAAAAAAAAAAAAAAAAAAAAACCCCCTTTTTTTTTTTTAAAAAAATTTTTAAAAAAATTTT